AATTTAAGGTGAATATTATTTGCAAAAAGGAATGGATTTCTAATTTACCACAGATAAAATGTTAAAACCGCCTTTTATCTACATTTTCCTCTATTTGTTTAAGAAAAACTTTGCAGTAAGTACCTCTCGTTCTGTGTAGTATACTAATTTTATTAAACATCAAAACATAGTCATAAAGTTTACGATAAGATTAAAACGGAATGTATCAAATACACTTAAGAATAAACATTCAAACACTGGGTTTTACATGGTTGTATCTCTAGTAAAAAAAGTAGATATTCAACTGCAGTTCGAACCTGCGCGGAGGCACGTCAAACCACACCCACGTCTCGCGAGCGAAGCAATCCTTTCACAATGTCTTATTACCCAACACTCGTACATATTTTAAATTAAAATACATACAACTTGTTAAAAGGTGTGTTATTAAAATATCAACAAAATTTACATTTCAAAAATGACCTTGACCAGTGCACCTTTCTTTCTATTTCTCTCTTCTATTATAAAATATAGACAAGACGGAAAAGTCAAGGTCTTTACCTTGTACGTAGCGAACGTGTTTTACAATTTACAGAAGTTATATGGATATACATATATCTAATTAATATGCAAACTTAATGTATTATGCAGCTCATTCAACTAAGTATTAACATTGCACGTTTTTCTGCATTTGTCGTGTTCATAACAATACATATTTATTTTCCTTGAACTTCGCTTAGTACAGCAATTTGTCCGACACGTGTTAAATAAACTTGTAATGATAACTTGATAACTATGTAAATGTTTATAACAAGATAGTAAAGGTCCCTTATGGTATTAAATGAAGTATGTATTGACATACGTTGCGTGATATTCACTGCATTTTATTCATCATTTTGGTTTCACAAGTATAAGTAAAGTTGCACCGGAATATGTTGCGTTATTTTGAAGCGCAACATTGCGTGAAGGGCGTCACGTGGCGCGGCAAGTACATGAACGGTCGGGGGCCGGGTGTGACGTCATTCGACGCGCGGGGGGCGCGGCGAGGAGAGCCGAGGGTGTGGTGCACATGCGCCAGCCGCTTCAAGGTGACCCTCGACTAGCAAAGTTGCCTCTTAGCACTCGCGCTCACGTCGTCGGTTCCTTTCACTTATTAAATATTAACGACACCTTCACGGTCTAGACTAGACGAACCGGTATTCGCCCAAACGGATATCATCATTTTTCTGTACCCTGTGGAATTTATGCCATCATCCTGTGGACTCCAACGCTTCTCGTTCATCACCTTTTATCTCAGTCCGCGAGACTGACAAGACGAATCGATATGCGTCAAGCACGAGACGTCGTAAGTACACATAGTTCATACAATATTTGCTTGAAATTTTCCAAACATTTTTAATGGTTTCGTAGTTTTTCTAAGGAAAACATGATGATAGGACATGCAGTTGATATATTATAAAATTATACACTTATATTTACCTACTCATGTTAATCAATATAAATTCAGCAAAGCTTAGCATTCCATTGCAGCCTTAATGTGTTAGAATTTTATTAAATTATGTATTGAACAAACTAACTCTAGTACCTTATAACCATATGTTTGCCTGAAACCATATCGTGGTTGATATAAAAGCATATATCTGATGAATTCTGTAACTTTAACATTTTGTCGATAAAAAAGTAAGATAAACTTTTACAAAAAAATATATTTGTAGGATTCACAGAAGGTCAATGTTAAGGAAGGTTAAACGAAGGCATTGATGATCTACAACCTTACGCAATTATCCTTTAAGTTTCGTGTTTTTTTGTTTATTAAGGATGACTAAAGTATGACTATAGTATAAGAATATTAAATTGAAGATTCAAAAGAATTTTCTTTGCTTTAGGAAGTTTGTAATATAAAACGTAGACCTTTAAAACTGGATTTTAATGTCATTAGGTAAACCAGAACGATATATCAAGATAAAATGTGTGCTAATGTATATTCTTTATAATTTTCCAAGGATAATTCTAGCGAAATTCAAATTTTAAAAGAGGCATAGCAGGGTTTTCGCTACCTAACTTTTTACCACTACATGTTCAATAAAAACGATTTTAAATTTATTTTCGTAGAAAATCGTGAATGGTTTAAGCCGGTTATAACTGATTTTACCGGCGATTATTAAAATGCTAACATTTTAAATTGAAAACCGCGACCAATACCGATAACCTAGTTATCAATCAAACTTGCTAATCTGTTCTCAAAATAGCAATATAATCGTGGCGAATATATTTTAACTAGATGCGTCATGAAAGATTTTAGTAATGTCACCGAATGGAAAGTTTTTTAACAATTTAATATTATTAAAGTCATCATAAAATTGCTATCACTGATAAGACCGATGCGGTACTTTATCCGAATGTTATAGTATGAAGTGCTGATAAGACAGTCTAGGTAGTTTTATAGATAAAATACTGAATAATATAGGTAATAAAAAGTTTAAAGGTAAAATGATTTGTCTGCTTTTTTATAACTTTCCGATTTACAACATTTTTTTTATTTACATAGTAGAGGTATTTGATTTTCAAAGATCATAATAATTATGAATAATATTATTAAATTATTATAGTAAGTAAATATTTTATAATACATAATATAACCAATCAGCACAGTTGAAGATTATAGTTTTTACCTAGCTAAAAAAAGTCTTCTAATTGCAACATTCCTCTAAGTTTTCCTTAGTAGTTTTATTATACATTTAAGAAAAGTGCGCGCGTACAAAGTACACATGTCAGAAGCAAACAAATTTTCTAGTCTTGTTCATATATTTTTTTACAAATCTAAAACTTTAGATTTCCAAGATTTAGTTGTAGGTAAAAGGAAGATATGTTAGGAATTTATTGAATTTAATTGTCATTAAAATAATAAGTGTCGAAAATTAATACAAATAATTAATTTAATTGTTTTAATTTATTTCTTCGATAATAAAACACGTGGCATTTTATTATACAATTAGTCATTTGAGATTTCAATTAATTATTTTGCAAAAAATATACAATACTAATTACTAATATTTCATAAATTATCTTTACGAAATTTTAATTTTAAAAATATAATTTCTATAAGGTAATTCGCGCCTCTCACTCTCTCTCAATCGCTCTCAATGGCTTTCAATCGCTCTCTCTGTTTTCTTCGACAAAAACGCTGCACATCTTCGTGACGATTCCGTAAAAATTTACCCACATGCGCCTAAAGAAGTTTCATTTCAAAAATCGGAAAAAAGAAGACCATAAAGATATTAAATATCGGTATAACTAAAACATTATCTGTGACACTAATCAATCCGTAGCTTTCAGCTATTACGATAAAGAATTGATTGACGTCATAATTTCTCGTTGCTCTATGCCTATTTTAGACAATATACGTTTCCGTTTGTGAAGTGGATCAGAAACTGTCACGAGACAAATAAAAATAAACATACGACATGCGACTTTCGTAAGAGCTGCCAAGAGTGAGCGACTCTGACGATAAATAACGTCGAAAATAAATAATTATTGTGAATCTATGTAAATTAAAAATTTAAAAAATTCTAAACTGATTCATGATGATGTTATCAAAAAAATGCCGATGTATTTGAGGCAATTTGTAAAACTACTAATAATTTTAAAAGAATTCAAAAATAATGTGAGGTATGTTTACAATTTAATATAAATTATCACAATGGTTTTTCTTCATATTTCTGCCATCAAAATGGTGGTCAAAACTAATTTTGCGGAAGTAATTGCTACCTGCATATCTGATTCCACCTTTTAATAAAACTTGAATGTATACGCATAAACTAAACTATTCTGATTCCGATTTCTAATATGTATTCTAGAAATAAATAAACATATTTTTGTTTCACATATATGTATATTATATATGTAAGGTAAACCGCCTTTCTATAACATAATTTAATTCCGCATTCAAAACTGGTTTCCCTGTATTATATATACCAGATTTTTTTCCTTTATGGATTGCTTTTCGGAAAACCTACACAAAAAATATGTGAATTAGATTATCATTAATTTGAATGGCTAACTGAATTGTTGACGTTACAAAAGTTTATCATTGATATGAATTTTAATATACAGGTCAAAGGTGGGTCATTACTACTTTTTTGACACAAAAATAATTAAAGTAACAAACTATCTTATCAGTCTAGTTTTATTTGTATCTTTATCAATACAATAATTAAGAAAAATATTCTGTAAAATACAATGATCACTAACTTGAGAGTAACATTTAATACATCACTGTAGCTTGCTCTTTAACTTCTCTCAAAGGTCAATTACACATTTAGTCTATTTTCATATACTAAAATAATACAAATCGGCAAGAAATATGCTTACAACCGTCACAGCAAACACGCAACATCGAACCTATTGAAAATGAATATATAGGTATTGCATTTCTACATCTCTATTTAAGTGGTAGTTTAGGTAATTCGTGAAAGACATCATTAAGACCGCGAACACACATGGTTTATTGTCGGTCATGTGCACGCATACAAATGCAGGCTTTGCAAATATAGAGACACCTTCAACTCGGGGAATTTATCTGACGTCACAAACGAGCCCACGCTTCGTCCAATCGGAGCCAAATGTAAGAAGGCGCGTCGGAGAGGGAATGATAAATATTTCAAAAAATTTTGCATACATTTTGTTTATGTGATAGTTCATCAATCGTAAAATTATCAACAATTTTATTCAACTTGGCTGAAATTTGTATTAAAATTACATTTCGATGGGAAATGCTAGCTGCGCTATTCTATCACATAAAATATTTGCACACGTGAGGGAGACAACATCAGTTTGTTATCATGAATGAAAAGAATGCGTCAGTTTGTTCAACGTACAAACGAGGTACAGACGGCGGCCAGAGCACGTCATAGCACATTCGATTGCCGTACTTCACTTCATAGTTCATATTATTACCTTGCTAGTTGCTACTAAAGCAAGTCGTGCGTTAGCTTAGCGCGTGTGTAATTATTAAAAAAATAAAAATGGGTATGGCTATTAACAACCTACCTCAGGTGAGTCCCTTGTTGAAATAATTTTTAAACCGAGTCGTAGTCGCCGGGTCTAGGCGAGTCCAATTCTGTGTTAGAAAATAGCATACCACGAATTTCATATTGGAAAGCAATTCTATAGCAGTAGCGACAATAGTACGATAGTAGTGTTGTAATGACCGCTTTGACCTTGTGAAACTTGTTCGCGATAAAATGGACGGTTAGCTTTGACGGTTAGCACTGGCCACTATTCGTTCATAGAGAAATTACAATTTAGATGAGTTAAAAATATTCGGTTAAAACGATTTTATTATTAAAAGTCGCGGTTAAATTTTTTAATCGACTTATTACTCATTCTATATCGTCATGTACACAGATTATTAAACTCAACTTGTCATCGTAAATTATAATCTCTTGCCAAGCCTCTTTCCTCGTTTTAACATGCCTCCCGGTAACTATAGAGTAGGTAGGGATTATCATACCGGTAATTCCAATGACTGGTTAAATAACCATAATTTATATTACGGTTTTAAGTTTGACTATGTTAATGTGCAGTACAAAGTATATATGTATTTAAATAGAAATTAAAAAGAATCAAGCTTATGTGACCTCGAAAATTAATCCTCGACATTAATATGTCGAAACTATGATTGCTTAATGTATTGAGTATAATAATGTGTTATAATTAATTTAAGTCTGACGAAATAAAATACTTAATGGTTTTAAAGCCACTGGCATCTAATATTATTTATAATTAGTCACTAATTAAAGAATACTGAATAAATACGTTATTATCAGATAGCCTTTATTTCCTTTTGATTGCGTTTTAGATTCGCGAAGAATGCGAAGTATTTCACATGTCGGACAAGCAGATCAGGGAGATAATGAGCAGACTCCACAACGACCTGATCAAAGGTCTCGGAAAAGACACTCATGCAAACTCAATCGTCAAATGCTGGATCACATACATTCAAGACTTACCTAATGGAAAAGGTAATTAATAATACAAAATATTTAGTTCTCAATTTTCTTTTGCATGCATAATTAATAAAAATTTACATATGCTAATTGTTTTTGTTATAGAACGTGGCAAATTTTTGGCGTTAGATTTAGGAGGAACAAATTTTAGAGTTCTTATAATAAATCTTGGGGAAAATCATTTTGATATGAAGTCGAAAATTTACGCCATACCTACTCATATTATGACTGGAACGGGATTGGCACTTTTTGACCACATTGCCGAATGTTTAGCCAATTTTATGAAGGTTAGTACAAATGCATGTTTTAATCAGTAATACGGCAGTTAAAATTTTTAATATATATATTCTTTAGCTACCTATATCGAAATAGCGTATCTTTGTAAATTTATTAATTAATCTTTGCGACAATTATTGATTACCGAAAAATTAAAATTGAATTACCTTATTTTTTAGGAAAATGACGTTTACAAAGAACGTCTAGCCCTTGGTTTCACATTCAGTTTCCCGCTAAAACAACTGGGCTTAACTAAAGGATTGCTACAACGTTGGACCAAAGGTTTCTCGTGTTCCGGAGTTGTCGGAGAAGACGTTGTACAAGGCCTTAAGGATGCTATCGCTAGACGAGGGGTAAGCTATCTATAACGTTTAGAACTGGGAATTCTGTAGTTTATTTTTTATTATTGTTAGTCACACATGACCAAACATCTTTGATACACGACGGGTTTATATGAGAGAATAGTATCGGTCTTCGAAATTCACAATAGTAAGGCATACGATTTTACAGGACCTAAAGTTGTCTGTGATGGGCATACTTAATGATGCAACGGGGACTCTTATGTCATGTGCATTTAAGAACCCCCATTGCCGAATAGGAATCATAATTGGTGAGTTGACGATGATATAAGCTCTCCAATAGCGTAAGGCATGATGAGAGAGCCAGTGGAGGCTTTCAATAATTCTATTCCTCATTATTCTTATCTGAAAAAGCCACTGTAAAACGTCTAAAACTGCATGCGAAATCTTTTCATCTATTGCACGTTAGGTTATTGAAGTGAAACTTCGTTAGGCGCATCAATTTTTAATAAACGTCACGAAGATGTGCGGCGTTTTTGTCGAAGATAAGGGAGAGCGATTGAGACCGATTGACAGACGGTTGAATTACCTCATAGAAATTCTATTTTAAAATTAAAATTTCGTAAAGTGAATTTATGAAATATTATTGCAAATAATTTATTGAAATCTCAAATGACGAATTGTAAATTAATATGCCACGTATTTTTATTATCGAAGAAAAAAATTTAAAAAAATATATAATATTATTTATTTGTATTATTTTCGACACTTTTAATATTTTAATGACAATTAAATTCATTAAATAAGTCTCGGAAATCTAAAGTTTTAGATTTGTGTAAATATGAACATGACTTAAAAATTAGCTTGCCAAAGAAGTTTCACTTCTGACGTGTACTTTGTACGCACGCACTTTTTTTTTAATTATAAACGATGGTCAAAACGTTACAATATTTTGGGTTGTTATTGGGTCAAGATTGAAAGCCTCTCAGTATCATCATCAACCACGGGTTTAAACATAGGAACCACTTGGGATTCAAGACTGCAACGTAACAGCATGTTTCTCATTGTAGGATGTACAGATTGATATATGCGCTATTCTTAATGACACTACGGGTACTTTGATGTCTTGCGCGTGGAAAAACCACAACTGCAAAATAGGACTCATTGTTGGTAGGTTTACCTTATATATAGAAGTTGTATTGACTCAAATTAATATACTAATGTCTTTTATAACGTAATAGTAACTAACGTTGCGTTCATTATCATTTCTAACTACATTATTCATTGTATTTAACCTTTCACATTTAACATACTCTCGACAGTTTGTTTGGTCCGCTAAATACTTTCATACATTTCATGGTCGAATTACCAGAATGTTTCATGTACAAATTTATATGACCCAGATTTAATATTAATGTATAAAATAAACACAGGTACGGGTAGTAACGCGTGTTACGTGGAGAAGACTGAAAATTGTGAAATATTCGATGGCGAACCAGGAAAATCTGAGCTTCTAATTAATACAGAATGGGGAGCCTTTGGTGATGACGGCACATTGGACTTCGTCAGAACGGAGTTTGACAGAGAAATCGACACTAAATCTATCAACCCTGGAAAACAGATGTAAGTCAAACTCTTGTTTTCTGAATTTTTATAACAAAAAAGTGGCAAGCGAATTTATCGTATACTACTAGACTTTTATGGATAGGATTTTAATGTATTACCCTTAAGGACAATTCAATGCACACACACAATGCAAACACTCCAATACAGTTTCGTTTTTTAAATAAATTTATTCCTCATTTAACATTTTATGTTTCCTTGAATTTTTGCATACATGCGTTAATCGTTTACATAAGCTTGTCAGTTGAATATGCTATACTTATATCAATTGAATATCAGATTTCATATTATATCCTAAGAAAAATATGTCATTAAAACGTGATCCGTATAGGGTATAGAGTATCGTATAATCCAGAATTGATTGTCAGCGATACTACAATCAACAGAGTTGAGTCACACATTGAGTCATTACATAACAAAATATAAAGTACTATGCTTTCTTAATAATATCACAGATATTCAATATTCAACAGCAATCTTTCTTCTATAAGCGAAGACGTAGTTCGCTTAGCCGTTAAGCTGCTTAGTAAACATTATTAATTGTAATTGATATTAATGTAAAAAACGCGCGAAAATTACATTATGATACGTGATGGGGTGTCAGTTTATATAACATTTTGTTCCTAATTCCATAAATATATTTCACCATAGATAAGTAAGTGTATATAGAGTAATGTCATTAGTTTACAAAATTACTAAGCAGAAATTGTGTTTTTATCAAGTTTACGACATATACGCTCGAAACTGCTTGGAAAAATGTTTAGAATATTATCATGCTTCAGTGAGTCAAAAGAAACATGGATAAGGAAAACTAGGTTCTGCCCCGACATAATATCAACAATTGATTATTATTATCTATTGTATATGATGCTGACATTTACAGTATAAGGATATTTTTTATGTGTGGGTAACTAGCCGTTTCGCGACGAATTAAAATAAATTTTATGTTTCATTATTTTTTTTTTTTCATATTTTTATTATTCTTTTTCCGGGTAGGGAGATGGTTTATAATGGAAAATTGAGATTTTTTAACAGATGTTGACGTTGAGGTTCGGAGCCTCCCCGAATTTTTCCGCGGTGAAGTCCGTATGGATAAATTTTCATAAAAGTAAAACAGAATAAAAAGAAGGAACATTGGAATTTTGATAAATAAATAGCCATAAACCATCTAGGAAAATTTCGCATCGACGGTATTATGTCGATACGATCAGTGGTTTAGGCTTACGTTAATTTAAGTATTAATCTTCAATAAAATAAATTGCAAAACATATTACTAAGATATATGATAAAAGACAAAATGTTTAAGTAAAACATTAAAAGAAACTTATGCAAATATTATATACAAAAAATACGAGGGAATATTTTTACTTTGTGTTAAGGTATTTCCGTATATTTTAGATCTAATATGTTGGAAATCATAGAGCAATTTTAAAAATGCATTATTCCCTAAACTCGTCTTTGGAGATTGAGAGGAGAGAGATGTCATCAACGATATTTGATTTTGACATACTAATTATAATATTTCGCGCCAAGTTTCGACTCTAAGGATACCCAAAATGGGAAATATCTTGTTTTTGGTGTGGTTTTAGTATCTTTGAGATCTATATGATTTTTATACTATTTACAGTCAAGAGAAGATGATATCAGGCATGTATATGGGAGAGTTGGTGCGTCTTGCCCTCGTAAAATACACACACATGGGCCTCTTATTCGGTGGTCGTGGATCTGATCTCCTCTTCCAAAGAGGAAGCTTCTACACTAAGTACGTATCAGAGATCGAGTCGGACAAACCTGGAGATTTCACAAGCTGTATGGATGTACTTGAAGAACTTGGTGAGTTGCTTTGACCATATTTTAGTCTAGTCGTAAAGCATTATATTATCAGCTTACGTAATAATCTGTAAGAAAACAGAAACGAAGAGCTCATATCGATCTTTATAACCTGTTTTACTGCTATCGAATTCATTTTATAAAACTGTTATACAACATATCTCTCGTAATATGTATGTCTTAATCTTGTCATATTCCGGTAATGTGTCGGTTTCTCTAGGCTATTGAATATCTAAGGGCATTGGGGTAATAACAGTTAAAGTTCACTGTTATCAGAAGTTGTAAACAAATAGTATGAGGATGTCAATATAACTTTACTTATGATGAATGGTTACGTAAGCGCCCGATTGTCTCCCGCCTTTTCTTAAAATTAGATATTAATTTAAATACTAATTAGCTCTAAGTTAATGATAAATTTGAATTACGTCGGTTTGCGATAAAAACGTGACGCACATTCTGACGTTAATTTGGCACCAGGTGATGTTTGTTCATTATATAATGAATATTAAGACGTTTTTGCAATCGCGCTATCGTTTGGTAATTTGAGATGAGGCTACGTGAAATAAATTAATTTATAATTACGAAAGTCCTCTGTAGTTGTGTTGCGTTTATAGAGTACTAATACTTATTAATTAGTACTAATAATATTAATTAGTATTATTAAATATTATATAGTTTTATTACGAAAGAAATTAATTAATAAATAATTCAATTGTTTATTAATATGCAAATTATTATTTATAATTTTCTATACACACCATAAATGTTTGACCTTAGACTGGATATTGATAAAACGGATTAGCAAAATTTGTTTATCTGAGTGACGAGAAAATTGTCTATATCCACATACTACATTTTAAATTCTGAACTCCATATTCCAGGCTTGTCACACGCAACGGAAGCGGATATGGCGGGCGTACGACACGTGTGCGAGTGTGTGTCACGTCGGGCGGCGCATCTTGTCTCTGCCGGGATTGCCACTCTACTCAATAAGATGAATGAGCCCCGAGTGACAGTAGGAATCGATGGCTCTGTGTACAGATTCCACCCTCATTTCCATGCACTTATGTGCGAGAAGATCGCCCAACTCGTTCGACCTGGCATACAGGTGAGTTATTTTTAAATTACGATTTTTGGATTCTACAATAATTGTTATCGTCTTTATATCGATTTGGCTATGGTTTACCTAAACTTTTATTAACTTAAAATGAGTCGGTTCTCATACATTCTCCCTTCGCGTATAATTTATTATCTTTGGTATCCTTATCAGTTATCACTGTAATTTTATTTGCCATAGTAGGAATATACCTCCATTAGCTCTCGAATCATGTTGAATGCTCAGTTTATTATTTCGTGTTGCGTAATAAAAATTTAATTGAAAACATTATTCAACGGTGAAGAAGTAGTAAAGAATATATCTTTGAAACCAACAACAAAACATTCTATTTTTTGTAAGGTCCTAATGATCTCGATTAATAGCGCTATATTTTTGTGGAAAAAAGTTATTTAAGTTACAATTAAAGAGTCTGATTTGAATAGATTTATTGGGCCACCCATTTCGTGTTGACGTCAAACAATAGTTTAGTAACTAAAGTGATAATAGAACCCAAAGTCGTGGACTTTAAGCCCTCTATCAAAACGAGATAGTGGCCGAGCCCCCGTGTCAATGTCGAAAAGTTCAATAGATAAAATTGTTTTAAAACAATAAAATCAATATCACTTGCGTAAAAATTGTTTATTCATTAAATAATGTTTGTTATTGGAAATCACGTTAACATTATCGTTGAGCGTCATATTGTCGTCATTGGCGGTCGTTGACAATTACAAATAAAGGCAAAACTGGGAGAATGGAACATTTTCCGGTAAATGTGGATTGAATTTATAACAAATATATATACCAGAATTATACGCATTCACCTATAAACATTATTCAAGTATTATTTGTAAAACAATTAAGTAATATTTCAACCGTCACGCCCTATTTTTTTTAAATTCCTTGGCAGTTTAATGGCGGTAAAAGATTATTATAGATTCAGATACAGATAAATAAGCATCAAAATATTGGTTCCGCTAACATTTGGAACAAAGAAACCTGTTTTAAAATATCAACAACCTTGTCGCGCGATAAATGTCTATTGAAATAAAAATAATGTTACCGACATGAAGCCTTGGCCGTTTTTAAATTAAGAACTAGATAGGTGTGCCTTTTTAACATAGACGTGTTAACAATATTGGTTAAAGGGTATTTTATTGGCGACCTACGCGACTGCTCAATTCATACCTAAAAGCAGTAATCAATAAAAATACCTAACTTTCATTTCATGAATATATAATAATATATTAATGTCTTATCGATAAATCAGAGTAATGGAAATCGGAATAAATCGTTAGATAAATACATAATAAAGTACTTTATAAAGATGACAAGAATTATTTTATATTGATACGACTAAAATCCTTATCATTTACTTCGTTTCAGTCACAAAATACTTCATAGTTGTGTTATCGCATCTATCGCGTCTATTTCCAATCAAATAGATCTATACTTTGTTTGACTTAAACTTTGATTGTAATTAAAAACAGTAGTACTAATTCGTTGTTTTTTTAATTTTCAGTTCGACCTAATGCTGTCGGAAGATGGCAGTGGTCGCGGGGCAGCTTTAGTAGCTGCAGTTGCTTGCCGGCAACAACTAAGCTACGCGTAAACATACCTTAATCCTACTACGCGGTGCTACGCTCAGTGATCGCACACAACGAATTTATACAACAAACATCCTACAATATTCGGTAATAGTGAGTTTGGAGATTATCCAGTGACTTTTTGAAACCAGTTTAAAGACTTGTTATTTTTGATGTACGTGCGATTACTTTTAGCCATTTTCCGCGTCTCGAGTGGTATAGACTGGTGGTCATCATTTAGTATTAGTTTAGCGATTTTAAATTAGCGCTGTGTGCTTGGACTGGCAGTCTTACGCATCGCTCTCTGTTGGATAGGAAATTGTAGTTATCATGATATTTATATAAATTAGGTAGTAGGCTCTGACGTCAAGTACTTTTGATTTATATGTAGACGTCAGCTGATAACTACGGCATTCCTATTTAATCCCATGTTAAGAATTAATTGGCACTAAGATCGAATAGGTCAATTGTTAATAGAACACTTAAAATGTCACTTGTACTTACGATTTTAGAATAGTCTAGTCAGTTTAACGAATACTTAATATTTGTATAAAAAATTTTCATCGTGTACATCGTTACTAGACTGATATTTAACGGAACCTACTATATTGGCCTTAGTGTCATTTAACGGAAAGCGCCCTCTGCATTTGTCAGTTTCACCCTCAAGTCAGCGAGCACGCAGTTAAAGTGACTTTATCTTATAAAAATGTAGTTAATTATGAGTGATGGTCTTGTAATATAAGAGTCTACTTTTATACAGAAGTTTAAGATTAAACAAAACACGACGAAAATTATTTTTCAAACTTTGTTTACATTTCTTGCAATGGATGAAAATTTTAAATTAATTTATTATGGCATTACTATATTCGAATGTAGCAATACATGTGAATCTCAGAAATTATGCTAATCACATCACAATTGACATATGATGTTGTAATTGTCATTCCATTGCCTGATTATTTTATTCATTAATAACACGTGAATTATTATTATTATAAATTAATGAAGATATTATTTTAAGTGTGTCGTTATTATATTTGAATGATTTAGGAAATAGTTTTACGATTCTAATTCGATTAGCGTAGTGAAACGATATTTTCAACAATTCTGAATAATTGTGTTTCGATATTTTACTGTGATAGAACTAGGAATTAATGTTTAAATTGTTTGCTGTTTTGGTTTCTGATTATTTTAAAGTATAGTCTATATGTGTTGCAATCGAAAGGAAAAACGCCGGCCCTAAACCCGGAAATAAAAAAATATTCAGGCACAAATAGGAAGCTTATTGGCAGCAATCTGATTTATTCAAATATTAAATCAACATTGTTTGTAATTAAATTTATTTATGATTCACAGATTACATTAAATTTTTCACACCATTTATAGTTCCTAGTTAAAAATAGGTGCATTTTGTGTTAGTGTTGTATTTTTATTGCATATATCAATATAGGTGTTTTAAACATTCGTTCCTTCGCTAAATATGCGAAGGAGAAAGTGTATTATGTAAGACCAATTATAGTTACTAGTATTAATTATTGTATGACATCCATTTATGATTATTTATTTATTCACATCTACAGTGGATTTCTAAGAGGCCCAAATAAAGTACAAACTCTAAATCTTTTAATATTTAGTGCACAAAGCAAGTGTACAAGTTTTTACATATTCCCACAGATATTGTTTTGCTCAACATGTCATTGCATATAAGGTTCAAAAAGAGTTTGTATACTTTCTGCAAAGCTACATTCCAAAGGTATTGAAACATCTATAAAATGGCTTAAAATGTTTTTAAAGCAGAAGTACACATATCACATAAATTGCTTTACAAGACCATTATGTATTATTAAACAATAAAGTTATAGTAAATAAAGCTGGTCTTTATAATACATAATCATTGTGTATATGTATATAAATTCAATTTTATAACCAAATTATTTTGGAGAATAATTTTTTCCTGTACGAACCTCAATGAAACCATTCTAGAAAGCAATCATTTTAATATAGCTAGCTCAATGTATCAACGAGCTGCAGAATGTTACTTATTTGGAAAATAAATTTTTTAAAACAGTTTTGTTGTTTTATACCATGAAAATAAACACAAAATTACTTTTATCACTTTATTGTCACAATACACCGATGACTGTGCACTAAAATACAAAGTGAAACTTACCCTCCTACAAAGATTAGTGCATAATATACTGATGAAATTGTATACATTTTTGGTGGTATAAGTTTCTTCCACAGTAAAATATAACAAGTAGTTAATTAAAGCATAAGTTAGAATACATTATTTGCTCTTGCACATTATTGTTGAAGAAACTGAGTGATAGAAATAAAACCTTAAATGTTTAATTACTGGTTACCTACTTGCTTTAAAGGGAACAAAATAAAAACTACTTAATGACTAATATTCACTTAGAAGGAAAAAATTAAATAAAGGAGGGATCATTATGAGATTATTTTAAAACATGTCACGGAATGTTATTTAAACATGTTTTAGTGACAAAGAGAGCACTGGAAATATATTTCTCAACTTTGAATATCTTATAGAATTCTTCAGCTGAGCTAATCAAATGATTTTTGAAAGAGGAGAATTTTATACAACAACACGCTAGATACAATATCCGGAATTACGAACATAATGATACATAGAAAAATATTTACACGAAACTTAAAATGTTACAAGTCAAGATCATGCTCCCATGGTTTTGTCAACATCATCCATATCGATCTTATTGCTTATTGTCTTAGCAATGCTTTGATATTTGTTTATCTGTGTAATTTAAATCGAAACCGAGAGTATAAACTCTTTATACTATTGGTTTGATGCCTATAGCTCAAACAGAGAATAAATTGGCACTCATGAATAGGCGAAAGCTGAGGTTTGCTGTATTATATTCATCATTATATATTTAGATGGCAACAACCTGGCGAGCATCATATTTTAAAGATTTTTTTTTAATGTTAAAACCACACTCCCACACTACACTTTTCAAGAGTACTTAGACAAAGATCATAGATAAACCAACAACCCTCAATCGTTAGGGAGTAGGCCAGGTACGATAATTTTTTTTAAAGTAATAGCAGTGGAATTGTCTTTTAGAGAAAAACAATTTTATTAAATTATATTGGTTATGTTAAAAAATAAGTAGTGCTATCAGGTGTAAAATTCAATTGAGTATATAACTTAATTTAATTTTAAAGTCTTTCTACGACTAATATTGAAATTACACCAGATCACATCCAGTTATGAATGTTGAAAATAAAATATACATTATTCTTACTACAGTCACAAATCAGTACTTAAGTGATTTTCAATTTCAATTAAAACTTATGAGATTCAATCCATGCTTGCAATATCCAAACTTAGTTGGAATACAAAATCTTATATTAAATAGTGTCATATTAACCATTTTTTAAATGTTAAAGACCTAGACAAATTTTAGATGTAATAGGTAACATTCACTAAAACAGTATTAAAATTTATGATTAGAGAATTGTGTAAGATTATAGAATCCCTCACGTTTTGTTGTTTAGTGAAGCTAAAAATTAATCTACACTTATTACAAATATCCATTCCATTTCAATACAGTCTTCTATAGTACTTTCCAAAACAAATATAAATTAATTTTTGAAATAATTATCGTATTAAACTCTGCAAGCACAATCTGATGGAGTCCTAGATGGACGCTTTGGTGCAGATATTCTTTTTGCAGTTCCAGTTCCATACTGAATACCAGATCCTATTCTCTCTGGATCTAATTCACCAGTCTCAATTTTAGCAAGAATTGTTTTGGAGCATTTTAGAAAAGCTTCCTCTACATTCTCTCCAGTTTTAGCACTTGTTTCGAGGAACATCAGCTCTGAAAAAAACAATTTCAGATTAAACAGCTTCATTTATTAAAAATGAGTTTACACCATAAAAAATTGTATTGAATTCATTTAATGACATAATTAATATTGGAATGAATTTAACACATGAAACTGTCAAAATAGAACCACACAAAAAAAATCTTTACTATTCATACTTAAGAAATAAAGTGTCAAACTAAGACATTATCTATATTAAGAAAGACTGATCTATGAAACCTTCAAGCTAAAAATATAAAGGAGACTAATACAGGGTTTATGCTGTATCTTCTATCCATAAATGCTGTTTTTCACTTACCATTATCTTGTGCAAACTGGCTAGCCTCTGAAAATGTGACTTCTCTAGATTCTTCTAAATCTTTTTTATTACCCACCAATAATATCACTATATTAGGACTAGCTAAGGTGCGAGCATCTCTTAGCCAATTTGCAAGGGCATTATAAGAATCACGAGATGTTGTATCGTATACAAGCAGAGCCCCTGCTGCTCCTCTATAATATGACCGTGTTACAGATCTAAACCTTTCCTGGCCAGCTGTGTCCCATATTTGAAGTTTGGTAGATTTTCCACCAATGTTAACAATTTTTGAACCAAACTCTACGCCAATTGTGTGGCATCTATCTTCTTTAACTGAAACAAAACCATATAATAAACCAACAAAGCTTTTTTTGATCATAGCCTGACAAATATATTCACATCTACAACATGTATAAACATATTTTTTACACATTACTCACATTTGTTTCCAATAAAATTGTTAAGAAGACTAGATTTTCCTGTGCCAGCGCTTCCAATGACAAGGAACTTGAATAAGTATTCTGGAATATAAAAACTGAAAAATCTAGTGACGAATTTAAGAATTGTATATAAGACTTAGTTGCAATTATCAATCAAGCTTCAATTTCAAAGCATACCATGAACATTTAACATACCATAGGATTCCGTCATCTCAAAAACAAACTCTTCTGAAGCTTTATAGCGGCGTAATTAAACAGCACTGAACTAATGCTTCGTAGATATATTAGAAAATATTTTATACTAATAAATTTATGATCTACGTAACATATTCGTGCAATGTTATCATTTTATTTTGAAAGACAAACAACAACAAAAATTCAAAAGATAGACATTTTACATTTGAATTTTGACTCATGCTATCAGCTATGGTTACTTAGAATCGTAGATAGAGTATAAAACTAGATGAGCTTCTAAAATAACAAAAATAACTAAAGAGAGAAGGCATTAACGTGAAATACTTAAGTGCGAGCGAAACAAAGTATCAGTTTTTCTGTCTCTATTGCGTATCGGGTTTTATTTGTTTACCACCGAGCCCTTGGTGGTAAACAAGTTTTCACCGCTTACTGATAAATCTGTGAAACCCAAGTCAAACCCATATTTTAAGACTTTAACCTTATAAAAGGTGTATTTAAAGTGTCAGTCATGGTGAATTGTTGCATAATTGGCTGTAAACAGTAAAGCTTTGTGAACGTAAAGAACCAAACATAACCTTTCATCGCTAAGTAGCTTATTTTGTTACGACTCAGTAACTTTGTTCAAGAATTATTCATTCGAATATGTATTTTGGTCAATAATAAGCAATCTTCAATGAATTAAAACTGTAAATACGACAATTCCAAACATATTTTCAGTGCTAACCGACTAAATTGCGAATCATATTACCTACGTCAGGTAGTTGCCACACTTCGTGTCCTTTGTAAATAGTTGGTTTTAACTTGTTGGGGCTACCAGCACTTGAATAAATTTTCCACTTTTTTCAGTTTTCCGAATAAACCGTATTTAAATAATAAATGGACTGAGTGTACGGGTAGATTAAACTGGCATCCAACCCAAAACGCCCAGTTATGCTCACGACATTTTGAAATGAATTCTTTCCAAAAGGAAAAAATAAAACGTTTTTACAACCACTTGCGATAACTACACTTTTTATACACGTAAGTACTCTTGCAATATTCGTGAAGACTTAAGTTTAAGGATAGAATAAGTGGCTTAGAATCTAACCACATCCATCTGACCAACAAATATTTTTATTTGTATGGAAGGAATCGGTTTAATTGACAAGGCCTTTGTTTTGTTTTTTGTTGAATTTCCGTCGTGGATAGTGCTGTGTGTGGAGCCGCCTTCGGTTGGTGTATGAGGTCGCACCCTGTTGATACAGGGTGGTACGGTGCCGGGAGAATAGGCCTCAGTGAAGGCTGGGAGAAGGGCTCTATTCACAGCGCGCAGCCGACAGAAGTCGTGGTTGTAAGGTGAAGTGAACCGAGGAGCAATGCTAAGATATCCTGGAACCCTGCCCGGGCTGTCATGTCCAGTGGTGAGGGGCCAAGGAGTAATCTTTAATGACGACGCGCTATGTTGTAGTTGGGGATGTTTAGAGGAGTCCGCTCGATCAAACAACCCCTTCGCGAGCTGTGCGTCGTAGGTACTCGTTGATGCACTCCATCACACTTGGCTCTCCCTACTACCCTGGAGACTTGGTGCCTTATGGAGAGCGACCGGTAAATAGAAAACCGGGGTTTTCTTCTGCACATCCCGACAAGGAAGCGTAGGAAAAAAATACAAGACGTAATTGTCATTAAATGTAATTCACGCAACTTAGTTCACGTAACTTACACACAGTAAAGGGTTAAATAAATCATTGTCCCGAATACTTTTGAGTAAGATACTTGTGTAAGCATTATGGATGACGGCCCCTAAACTCAGATCAACATTCTGTTATTGAAATAAATAATTAATAAACAGTTAAGATAACTGTTGTAATTGTTTTACGCTTAAAAGCGAATAATTACTTATTTAAACCGGGCAATAATACTGGTTAATTTTTAAAGGACCCGTGTTTTTTATCGATAACATTGAAAGTAACTGAAGTACTAACGCCGTATTGCTAAGACATAGCAGCATATTGGGCATAGTATTAGGTCCTTACATATGAAATTGGCGTATTTCGTACTGGCCACTTTAATCACGATGTTCTCCTCTTTGGTAAGGAATTCCAAATTCAAATTTGTACAGCTATTTACTCATGTATTTGTGCTTCGATGATGTGTATGGCGGTCATGTTGCAAAAGAAAACACAGTTCGTTTTTGGTTCCAACGTTTTCGTTCTGGAAATTTCGACCTGCAGAACAAGCCCCGTGGACGGCCTGAGACCCAAGTTGATAATGAAGTATTGAAGGCTATTGTAGAAGCGGATCCATCGCAAACCACGTCCGAGTTAGCTGCAGGCTGCGGTGTTAGTGATAAAACTGTTTTAATTCACTTCAAGCAAATTGGGAAGATTAAAAAGCTTGAAAGATGGGTACCTCACGAGTTGACTGAAGCAAACCGGCAAACGCGCGTCGACTGCTGCGTTACATTACTGAACCGGCACAATAATGAAAGTATTTTAAACCGAATCATTACCTGTGATGAAAAATGGATTCTTTACGATAATCGGAAGCGCTCAGCGCAATGGTTGGATCCTGGCCAGCCAGCCAAATCCTGCCCCAAGCGAAAATTAACCCCAAAAAAGTTACTTGTAAGTGTTTGGTGGACTGGTGCCGGTATTGTTCATTGCAGTTTTCTCAAATCTGGCCAGACTATTACGGCTGATGTCTATTGTCAGCAATTGCAAACCATGATTGAAAAGCTAGCGGCTAAACAACCTAGGCTGGTGAATCGCTCCACGCCAATGCCACTTCACGACAACGCTAGACCACACACTGCACAACAGACGGCTACCAAATTAGAAGAGCTTCAATTGGAATGTCTAAGACATCCTCCGTACTCCCCGGACCTTGCTCCAACAGATTACCATATTTTTCGAAATTTGGACAACTTCTTGCAAGGGAAAAATTTAACTCTGATGGGGCAGTCCAAATCGCCTTCACAGATTTTATTGATTCCCGTCTGACTGGTTTTTTTAGTAAAGGGATCAATGAACTACATATGAGATGGCAAAAGTGCATAGAAAACAATGGTTCATACTTTGATTAATTAAATATATTATATTTAAAAATATTCGACTTTTTGTTCCTCCCATACAAAACGCCAATTTCATATGTAAGAACCTAATATTTAGATATTTTAGTTGCAAGCAAAATAAAGTTATAACTGCACTTGTATCATTAGAACCATTGAGGAGCGCAAATGCTTGTGGGATTGTTACTGCCTTAGTAAACTGTTTACAGGCACATGGTATTCGATTAAAAAACTTGACTGGAATTGGATAATGTCTCTGTCATGACTGGCGTCAATAATGGCGTAGGTACATAATATTTTTAATATGGAGTACCTAATTTTATCCTGGTTAGATGTGTGTGCCACTCATTGCAGTTGGTGGTGTCGCATGCATCAGACAATCGAATCAGCGAATGTCACCTCGAAATATAGAGTTTGTCATTAGAGAAACCTATATCTGGTTCTCACATTCACCCAACCGCTATGATGAGTAAAAAGATATACCTAATAATATATGAGACAGTCAGTTGTGGTGACAAGCCTTTAAAAATATTGCGCTCTTATGATACTCGTTGGCTGTCCATTAAAACAACTGTGACCAGAATATTGTCTCAATGGGAAGAACTGAAATTTAATTTCTCTTTGAATACAGATAATTTCTATACAGCTGAAATGATTCATTCGATGTATGCCGATGAGGGGAATCGCCTTTATAGTATGTATTTTTTAAGGAGTACCTATTTTGAATGATGTCCAAATCTAATTTAAGAGTTTTGAAACTGAATACTTAAATCCAGTTACCCTTATGAACACATTAAGGACTTACTTTTCTTCGCTCTATTATAATATTATTCACGTTGAATAACTCACTTGAATCCGTAGTATTTATCATATTTTAGATTACAGGTAAAAAGACCAATATACCCAATGGTGTTATACATTTAATCAGGAAACGTTGTATTGATTTTACAGTCAAATTAGGAAAATCAAATTCAACAAAGACTTCCTTCTAACTACATTATTTTGGAGGAAATGTATCAACTGAGTATGGAATATACTCTTCGCACGGGCAAAGACAACAAAATAGCAGATCTTGCTGTGGAACTCGGCTTTGATGAAGAAGCAATAGACACGTATAACGTTACAGCAGTGGCATGGTATAAGTTATGTTAATTGGAATGCGACACATAACAGCATTGATTTCTGGTCTGAAAAGCGAAGATATAAAAATGCTGCTGGAATAAATACATTTCAGGAGTGATCACTATATCCGCATAGTCACTTCCTTACTCAATAGCTGAAGCGGAAAGGGCATTTACCGCAATGAATATAGAAAAAAACAAATTAAGAAACAAAATGAATGTTAACACTTTAAATAGCGTTATTTTTATAAAAGATCAACTACATGAATAAAGAAAAAACTGTTACAGTTACGAGCTCCCGGGTGATGTAATTAGTTAGGTAATTTTTTTTTAATGGCTCTGGCACGATTTGTGCATTAGCCAGCGTCAAGTATAGGATTTTTTTATATAATTCGTGCTTGTCTTTAGAAATTCGACTGTGTCCTTCATGTACGGTTTAAGCACTCGCCCGGTACCGCAAAACCCTCCCAAAGGCCGAGAACAAATTTAAATTAAATTAAAACTTGCCCTCGAACCGGGATTCGAACCCGGTACCCCTCACCTAGCTGCCACTTAATAAGACCGCTAGGCTATGAGGCCCCCAGTTAAGTAATTCTAAATAGTTTAAATCTAAAAAAGTCTAACAAAATTGATGAATCATATCAGCCATTTACATAATATGCATTAATCGTCATTGTAACAAGATTAAGAGGAAATACCACCAGAACTATTTGAAGTTGATTTTCAGTTTTGTTATGTGTGTTTTTATTCATTGTTTTCACAATTAATTTTAAATTATTTAGTGATTTATTTACTTAAAATTTTTTCCTAAATCTAGGGAGATTTCAAACCAAAACGAATGTAAAATGATTTTGCAAGGTGGCATCTGGCAACACAAATTTTCCCAAAGTCAAACACAACAGTGATATGCAACAAATTGAAATTGGAGATTGTTTTGAAATTGATTCAGATCACGTCGACATTCATATAAAATAAAACATGTTAGGATTACAAAAAAAGGTGACTATTCCTGACTTCGAAAAAGATACCTGTCCGTACATGTTCCTTAATGAATATCTTTATTTTTTAATATTACTGTTTTCCAGTTACCGACTTTGATTACGCGACAAAATATCCACAAAACTCCCATACGAACATTTTGGGAATATGTGAACATGATGTTTAATAAGCCTGATCTAGAGCGCATCAAAACATTAGGTCCTGATCGTGCTTGCGCCGAATGGGTTCTACGAAATGGTGGCAAAGTTATATGGGCAGATGGTAAAAAGTTGGCAGATTACAATTCTCTCCCACCTGAAACAGAGTTTGATTCCAAAGTTGCAGTCATTGATGGGTCTGAATCCTCTATATCACATTATGGCTTTGCCCATTTAAGTATGTTCAGCACTTAGGTTCTGTTATGACTAAGGAACAATATAATTTTTGTTTTTAATACTGATATGTTTAGGTGGATGTACACAGCTATGGAAAATTATCCTTCATAATAATAAATATATTGATGATAGAGCCATGCAAGCATTGGAACATGGAAAAAATACTTTAACCAATGTCCAAGTATCACAGTGCATTAATGTGACAGATGTTGGTTTAAAAGAACTGAGTATTATGACAAATCTGCAGACATTAATCCTGTTTAATTTGACTAGTGTTGACAATATAGAAGAATGTATTAAACAATTACACCTTAGTTTACCTAAGTGTAAAATAATAGGTGAGGTTTTTCTGTATTTGTAGTTGACTCTAAGTCTACACTATAAGTAGAGAATAACATATTATTTTTTGTATGTAACTTTCTTTCCTTCAAAAGTTCTTTCTACTAATATTAAGCTATATTTTGTCTAGTAAAATATGTTATAAAACATCACTATGATATGTAGTAGAGCATCAAAGAATAAATGTTATGTTGATGCTCCACTCCAATGTTTGTCCTTATGAGAATTTCCCTCAATTTGTTTGATTGAATGCCACTCCATGTTTATCTTGAGATCAATCTATAATTGAAATATTTTTTCTGGATAGTCCATTTATTGTGGACAGCTATATCATAACATCAGTCTAAGACTGATATAACACCAATTAAGTCACAGTTATTGTAAGATAAAACTAAGATTGCTAAATTGTATTTTCAGATGCTGAGGAGGAATTAAAGAACTAATAGGTCTATAATAAAAGAGATCTGTAGTAATGTAACAAAATAAAATTTATGCTGCTAATAAATTATTATATATATCAGAATTCAACTGCTTTTCCTACTGCCTCATTGACAGTGTTGTATCCATTTTGTTTTAGTAGTTCAGCTAACTCAGCTTTTATTTTAGTTACAATTGGAGGGCCATGATATATTAAAGCTGTGTATATCTGTAAAACACTGGCTCCTGCTAATATTTTTTCAAAAGCATCCTTTCCATTAAATATACCACCAACTCCTACTATAGGTATTTTCCCTAAAATGTTTTATACAATTAGGCCTACACTAATTGGCAAATATAAATTATTATAAGCAATAATATACAAACCTTGTGTTAATTTGTACATAGTTTTAATCATTTCAGTAGATTTATCTGTTAATGGTTTTCCACTTAGTCCACCTGTCTCTTGAGCATATTTACTATTATGTAGGCTAGACCTATCTATTGTAGTATTTGAAATTATAAGGCCATCAACTTTAGTTTTCTTTTCTGATATAACTGAAACAATATCTTTCATCTCTTCTATGCTTAAGTCTGGGGCTAATTTTAAAAGTAGTGGAGGCCTTTTCTCAATTTTTAATGATTCTAATGTTGTATTTGCCTCTGCTAATAACTTTTGTAATTCTGTTTTACTTTGTAACGATCTTAATCCTGGTGTGTTTGGACTGAAATGAGATGAAATTTGAGATACTTTACATAGTTACCTACATTAATTAGTATTAATAGCTTAAATTAAATGGACTAACATAATAACTTTTAAAACAAGTTAAACGATTTTACCTGCTAACATTTATAACAAAATAATCAGCCACTTTGTGAAATTTTTTGATTCCATGTGAATAATCTGCAGCAGCATCAGTAGAATGTTTGTTTTTCCCCAAATTGATTCCTAATAAACCCTTATCTAGGAGAGCTTTGTCAATGTTTTCTATCTTTTTGAGAACAACATCGTGTCCTTCACTGTTAAATCCATATCTGTTAATAACAGCTTGATCTTCAGGTAATCTAAAAACTCTAGGTTTTGGATTTCCAGCTTGGGGTTCAGGTGTAACAGAGCCAATTTCTATGATAGAGAAACCTATTCTTCTTAAACCATTCACTGCATCTCCATGTTTATCAAATCCAGCTGCTATACCAATGGGATTGCTTAATTCACAATTTAAGAAAATTGTTTTCTAAAACAAAATTTTAAAACTGTAAAATTGTGTTTTTTTAAATTTTATAATAAAATGTATTATAACTTACCAATACAGTAGGATCCTGAAAGTTCTCAGAGGGAAAGAGACCATATTTCAATGCTGAAACACCTAGTCTGTGTGCCCATTCGGGATTTAAACGCTGACTTATAGGTTGTAATATATGGGTATAATATCCTTCAAAATCTTTTTTGTAATAGATAAACTGATAGGACATTGATCCCCCCAAAGTAAGATAGCAAAGTGATTTAAGCTTTTTCTGTAAAAAGCGGATAATTTAGAAAGTAAGAGTTAAATAATAAGGTTAAGAATAGTTAAGATTAAACATTTCTTGCTGTACGAACCAAATTTTTTTGCGCTTGACTCATGGTGAATATGAATTACGATAAACACGTATCAAAATTATTGTATAATATCAAATACGTTCCTAAGCATTTATTTTCCTATTTTTTATTTTAAGTTAAAACCACGATGTACTAAAATTCACAAATATTAATATATCAACCTTTAATAATTAATATACATATTTTTGTAGAATAAGCATAGATGAAAACAATAGCAAATATTTGAATTTTGAAGCTTAAAATTAACAATGTCATAACATAGAGTACAATTTTGTATCTATAATCTACTTCAAGGAAACCCTATATAGACCCCCTTGTCCGTGGGTTATAGAGTACGAGTAATAATAATACTACATATATCTGTGCATTTGTGCAATAATATTGACAGAGGCAGAATTTTATAAATTTCGTAGACGGACTATGGTTCTATACTCTATCTACGATAAATTTACTAAAGACTAATAATAATAAGATTAATATCCTTGAATTTTGAAATATTAATTATTGATTTTAGGAGGAGCAGCTCCAGCAACTTTAAAGAAGAATGAAAGCAATTTTGATATTCGATAGTGTAAACGATTTGCTATATTCAAAATGGGATGAAGAGTTTTTGTCTCGAATGAAATCGTTTAATGATCAAGTAAGATAATAATAATATTTACACACTAATGTAATCAGTTTAACTATCATTTATTTGTGTATTTACATTCCTTAAAACCGTTAGAAACTTTGTGCAATTTTATTAATATGATTACTATGATTAGAAAAACTGAAGATAATATAATATTAAGTTCTTAACAAAAGAAAAAAACATATTACAAACTTTCAGGAGAGTAATGAAACTATAACAGACAGTCATCATATATCTCAACTTCTTTCACCTATAATAACATCACAACGAATAATGGCAGCTCAATTTAGTAATACTTATACTTCCATGCAATGCAAAGATAAAACTTCCATTGTGTTTGATGAGGTATGTAATTTTTTCTATTATATTTTTATAAATGTTGTTAATACCCATTAACATTTATAACCATAATGTATTTTAAATAATTTTATATTTATTACTTATTTTTCAGTGGTTAGATCATGTATTTATGATTATAAGCGAAGACAACATAGATGATTCACATCGTGAACTCCTAGATTGTAAAACCTTGGTACAACATATTTGTGGACAGAACATAAACCTGTAAGTTTATGTTATTGAACAAGTAATTTAAGATAAAATCTATGTTAATTTTATGAGGTAATTGAAGTAACATTTCTGTTTGACCTAATATTCCTCTTTAGCGAAACTCCAGTTGAAAATAACTAATATAAAATTACTATTATTTTACTGAAATATTGTGTATAATAATCCAAATATTTCATGAATTGAAGCATTTGAATTATTGTAGTAAAAACTTGGAAGAAAAATTGTATTTTCTTAATATTTTTGCAGACTTCACTCATTAGTATACCAAGACTGGTTGTCAATGCTCCTTGACAGTCGACTGAAGGGTGATTCAATCCCAGGAGCAAGTGGGGTGATTGGGGAAAGTGGAGCTACAATAGCTGCCTTGAATGCCCTTAAGACCATCTCAAAAGAACTTAAAACTGCATCCCATCAGCATTACCATTTAATGCTTTTTGTTGGTGATAAGATATTGGCTTTGTATTCTAGGTAAGAAATCATATATACAAAATAATATGAAATATAAAAATTTATATTAATAAAAAAATAAAACCATAATAACTTTGCTTATCAACTATTTTATATGTTGCCTACAAACTTCAAAACATGACAAAAATCATATTTATTTAATCTAACCATGAAATTTAAAAATTACTACCATCAACAAGTTTGACACTAAAACAAACTATAAGTAGCATAGAAATATATTTTTTTATTAGTAAACAACTTAAATCTATACACTTTACCAATATCATACACATTATGCTTTATATTTCAGTCGGGGTAGTGATGACCTAATGCCACCAGACTTAATTCTTTTAAGTACACAGTGTATAGCAGCTCAGGAATATTGGAATGATTTGGATCAATTAGGTGGAACTCAAAATTCTCGTCTGCCATGTAAGTGACATAAGAGTATGTGTACTGGTGGTTTAATGTCGCTGAATTACTATAATATTAATATCATTTAAATAATATTCATGTGCATTTTCCACTCAACCCAGGTGTTATTCAAGTTTTAAATTACTTTAAGGGAGCGTTCAAGTATTACGTAACGCAATTTTTGGAGATTATTGGACCCCCTGATCTCGTCAGTAATCCTTTTAGTACCCTAGTACACTACTGTACTCAATATAGTTAAACGTTTCAGTAAGAGCAAGTTGTGTCTGTTTAAGTTACTGATTATGTGGATGTAATGGTCGTTTTAATTTTTTATAATTAACAATAACGCGTAATGATCATGTATCTACGCGCGCATCGTAACGTTTTACTTAACAGTTGGTGGACCAAACGCGTGTATGCGTAATACTTTTAATCCGGTAACGCCGTTCTGTATTTTTGTTTTTGTGAGATTATTGTATTTTGATACATTTCAAAATTTTGATTCAGATTTAGGCATGTCTTATACATAAAAAATTGCTTAGACATAATTTTTATTTTACTTAAAATGTTAAGGGCCAAATAAAAAGGTGTTGGTTTGTAGGGTTGTCAGAACAAAACAGTGCTATAGTGAATATGTGCGCGGGCACTAGTGGCTCGCCTTGTGCTCCTCACTCACTGCATCTGGTAGAGGTGGCACCGCGAATTCTTTTCGTTGCTCTCATTGATATGGATCTAAGGTAATTTCAGATAATATTTAAGCGAGTTTCTTCAGGATTACCAGTGGATTAGTGGCTAATCTAGCTGGTTTTTTCAGCAAAACAATTTTTGTAATCGTAAATTCGTTCTTGATTAATTGTCGTATAAATGAATCTGAAATATATTTATCTAGATAAAATTTAGCATAGTTTAATGTATCTCCTTTTATTTGCGATTTTAGTAATTTAAAGGCATTATAAAAATGTATTGTGATGTATGTTGGCTCGAAGGTTGGGGAGGGGGTTACTTAAGATTTTTAATTTGTTTTCAGAGAAGTAGGTATTGCTGCTCATCTGTCTAGTCAAATATTAATGAATTTGAGAAAAATTCTGCTGCAAAGGAATCTAGAATTATTGCCAAATTCTTTAGACACGTTGGAAGCTGCTTTGAAAAAGGTAAAAAGTTACTTTAAATAAAGTATGTACCTATATATATTACCTACTAGCAGACCGGCCAAGCGTTGCTGTGGCTAAGGTTTTTGTTATATTACATAGTAGTAAACTATTCACGGGAAACGGTAGGAGAACACCAGTGACCACCATGCTTTTTTGGTGGTAATGCCATTAAATTGTAGGTTATATGGAACGTTGGCACTTTCAACACAGCACAGTTGGAATTGTGACTATCAAATAATATTGCGGGTATAAATTGAGATGTAAGCTATCCTATCTTTTAAGTTAGATCAAACTACACACGGTGTGCAAACTTGATTGATATCGGTTCGGTAGTTTAGGAGTCAATAGCGGACAAACAACGTGACACGTAATTTATATATATTAAGATATATATGGGTATGATAATTTCCGCTGCTATCTTTTTAATTTTCTACACTACTTAATATAGAATAAAATTTGCAGACAACAGATGCCTTACGCAAAAACAAAGCAAATTCGAATCTATGTTCTCGTCTGACGAGCAGAATGTTGGAATTACGGAAATCGTGTACTACAACCACGCCTTTGACACCGGAAACAACAGCCACGGCAATGCATACAGCCTTAGATGCGGTCATAGAACTATTGAAACCGGATATCCCGAGCCTCCGAACGGAACAGCCTTTGAAAGACCTCAAAACCCTGCTCGCGCCATACATTGAATTTCTTCAAGTCAAAGCCAGACGATACTTCAGTTTGGGATCATATCCTTTTTAAATTGTTAAAACTGTTTGTTTTGTTGTATGCAATGGTTTAGGTATTATTAGATGATTAAAATTAGTTAATTAAATACTAGACAACTAAGTTTGTTGAATTAAAGGTAGCTGCTTTAATTCCTTTTGAAAATTCCAAAAAAACAATAGGTTTGCTAGGTACTGTATCAGGGCACTGTCGTAGCCACTAATGGCGACTATAACAACCGTATATCAAAATCTGATACATTTTTGAGGTCAGAATTAGCGCTAGAACTCGTTTCTGAATCTACCCTAGCACGCGATGTTTAACCCTGAGGGCGTGTGTTTAAACTCCAGCATACAAATAGACTTTTCAATTGATACTTTGTTCGTACGGTGAAAGTAAACATTGTGAGGAAACCTCATGACCCAAAAAATCGACACTTATAAAGAAAAAAAAAACACAGAAATCTTTGGTTGAGATGGTTTGGTTTTAAAATACAAGGTCGCACATTCCAAAAGCAGACAAAAATTTTGGTGTATCGTAAAAAAACCTTAAAATAAAGCAATGAAATTTAATAATTAAGTCTGTTAATAGTAATAGGATAATAGCCAAAGGATTCTGGAATTGTTTAGTGTTGTTGCTTGTGTATGCTTGCATTTATGCACGTAAGATGAAAGCATCCCATACATTTCTAGATCTTGTAGATTATAACGCAATGGAGCATGTGATATTTCTACATATATTTCAATTGTTTAACTTAATCGGATAAAGTATTTTAAATGATAACTATATCATTAACGACATCAATGTACGGTTTACGTACGGCGACAGTCAACGTAGCCTGTAAATAGATCCATAGTGTGATTTCTGGTGAAACAAAAATGATTCAAAATAAACGCGGAAAGTGCTTACTTTACTTTTAACAACATTAACTTACTGTATTGTGCATGCTTCATATTGTATGTAATAACTTAACATGGGTGATACGGGTGACCTCGAAGGAAGTTCCCTAACCCTGCACAAGTATGTGGAAGAGTTTCCCGGTCTCATTCACTTCATATACGTGGATCGTACCACTGGCCGCTTCTTGGCTCCTGACATGGCGGATTGCGTTGATATGTTGACGCCGGATACGGTAAGAAATATTATTGTAATTTATATTTTAAATGTACAGTGTGTAGGTTAAATAGTGGCATGATTTTGCAAACAAATTATTAGAATTATACAAACCTGAATGGTAGGAGTAGTAATGCAATGTCTTATACATGAACTCAAAGGTTAAATATACCCCCCCCCCCCCCCACCCCCCCCCCCCGGGCCGGGGGGGGGGAAAAAAAAAGAAAAAAAAAAAAAAAAAAAAAAAAAAAAAAAAAAGAAGGAGGGGGGAAAGGGGGGGGGGAAAAAAGAGGGGAAAAAAGGGGGGGGGGAGGGGGGGGGGGGGGGGGGGGGGAAAGGGGGGGGGGGGGGGGGGGGGGGGGGGGGGGGGGGGGGGGGGGGGGGGGGGGGGCCGCCCGGGGGGGGGGGGGGGGGGGGGGGGGGGGGGGGGGGGGGGGGGGGGGGGGGGGGGGGGGGGGGGGGGGGAAAAACGAAAAGGGGGAGAGAGAAAAAAAAAAGGGGGGGGGGGAAGAAAAAAAAAAAAGGGGGGGAAAAAAAAAAAAGAAAAGGGGGGGGGGGGGGGGGGGGGGGGGGGGGGGGGGGGGGGGGGGGGGGGGGGGGGGGGGGGGGGGGGGGGGGGGGGGGGGGGGGGGGGGGGGGGGGGGGGGGGGGGGGGGGGGGGGGGGGGGGGGGGGGGGGGGGGGGGGGGGGGGGGGGGGGGGGGGGGGGGGGGGGGGGGTTTTTGGGGTGTTTTGGGGGGGGGGGGGGGGGGGGGGGGGGGGGGGGGGGGGGGGGGGGGGGGGGGGGGGGGGGGGGGGGGGGGGGGGGGGGGGGGGGGGGGGGGGGGGGGGGGGGGGGGGGGGGGGCGAGGAAAAAAAAAAAAAAGGGGGGGGGGAGGGGGGGGGGGGGGGGGGGGGGGGGGGGGGGGGGGGGGGGGGGGGGGGGGGGGGGGGGGGGGGGGGGGGGAAAAACCCCCCCCCCCCCCCCCCCCCCCCCCGGGGGGGGGGGGGGGGGGGGGTTTGTTTTGGGGGGGGGGGGGGGGGGGGGGGGGGGGGGGGGGGGGGGGGGGGGGGGGGGGCGGGTTTTGGGGGGAAATTTTAGGTGGGAAATGGGGGAAAAGGGGCCCCCCGGGGGCCCGGGGGGGGGCCCCCCGGCCCGGCAAAAACAAAAAAAATAAAATTTTTTTTAATTTTATGGGGAAGGGGGAAGGGGGGGGGGGGGGGGGGGGGGGGGGGGTTTTGGGGTTTGTGGGGGGGGGGGGGGGGGGAGGGAAAGGAAATTTTTTTTTTTTTGGGGGGGGGGGGAAAAAAGGGAAAAAAAAAATTTTAGGGGGGGGGGGGGGGGGGGGGCCCGGGTCCTTCCCTTTCCTTCGGGGGGGGGGGGGGGGGGGGGGGGGGGGGGGGGGGGGGGTGGGTCGCGCGCGCCGGGCAAAAAAAAAAAAAAGGGGGGTTTTTTTTTTTTTTTTTTTTTTTTTTTGGGGGGGGGGGGGTGGGCGGCGGGAGGAAGGGGAAAGGATCTTCCCCTATATACATAATTACATCGAGATACAGGTGCCAATAGTTAATGTTAAAGAATAGACACCTAAAGTTTTCTTTAATTTAATATCGAAACCAATGGTTGTTTCTCTGTTTAAATGGTGTGCTTCAGCCTAAAATTATAATCATCATTGTGAACTGTGAAGAGTCTAAGATCATTCTGGGATGGGCACGGGATTAGCTCTATGGTGTCTATAATATAAGTATGCCATGCATTTTTTTTAAATCGAAAACAGATCCGCAGTATAATGCGTCGTACCATGTTTGCCCTCCGCGAGGGCTACGGCGCGGCGACATGGCGCCGCGGGGCCATCCACGTTTGCGCCGTGAGATGGTGGGAGAGGAAGGGCCAGCCCCTCCGCCCTGCGCCACATCCACCCGCTGCCGTTAGAGCCTTGGCGCCACCCGGTGATATATTGGCTACGTTTTACAGGTACTACACTTACTATCATTACATATTTACATTAGTTTGCCTCAGTGATATAGTAGTTACTAGTTACCTAGTCTAGTTCAATTCAGATCATGAGATGATCCCAGGTTCAAATATTAATTATACTCATAAGTTACCACTTATAGAACTCTATCGAATGTTTTGGCCTTAACACTTACTTCTGCAAACGGGTCAAAGTATTCTTCAACTGTTTGGTACAGATTGGTTTATATAATACAGAAATAAATCTTTACAGGCAACTGATGGAATTGGTATTTCCAAACGACAGCCAAGGTGTAAGTATAAAAGAGTTAGTTTGTATTCATCTTGGCTTACTCCCAGCTTCTACTGCGGTACAGCAGGCACGTCGCCTCGCTCACTCTGTATATGAACTCGCGGGAGAAAATCCAGCAATAGCTTCCGATCTGCTCTAAATTTAGTTATTTAATAAGTATGTTTGTAGATTTCACATAATTGAATTTAATCTCTCATTAATGTCGTGGCCGTAGAATTGATGTTCATGAAGTGAAGAACTACACTTAATAAAATAGAACCATTTCATAAAATGTGAATACTATCCTACCAATACTCGACCAGCTTACTAATGAGTCGATACTATTCGGCTTTGCTGTGATATTCATACAATTATATACATATAATAAATTTTTAATTTGTTTTAAATTGCATTTTGCTAGTCCTTATGTTTACAATATAACCATATTAATATGTATAAGCTTTAATGTGTAATGTTATTAAGAATTATTTTTGTAATTTTTTATTTGTTAGATATACATATATATTTTTACGTTACGGTTCTTGCCATTATGTTTTAATGTGTTACATACAACTTTATTACTGAATATTGTTGTTGTTTGATAACATTCCAATATTGCTTTAATCAACTCTTAGATAAAATTGTAAATTTTTGTTTGGTAATATTACTTGTGTGACTCACAAGAGATTCCACTAGCTTTAAAAGTAGTAACCAAATTTATGTAAAGTGAAAATATAACATGAACTCAATAAAATAATTACACAGTTAACAAGATATTTAATTTCCTTTTACATAAAATTAAACAAAGGTATATTTGCAATATTCTTTATTCGAAAAATAACATTCATAATTGTCACATCCTAATATAAAGGATTAAAATGTTATTCTTTAGATATGATTATGTACAATGAATGTGTTTTAAAAAATATGAAGATGAATGATATTTTTAAGATACAATAATATGAAATACATATTATTTAAGATATGTTCTAACAGTCAAAAGTAACAAAAATGTTTAACACTAGATATATTTTAAGAAGTTAATTTTAACATAATGGAAAATATTAAGTAGAAATTGGTAACTGTAATGATACACTCATAAGGCACTTATAATTCAGGCGAACTCCCACCAAAACATGTTGCATTGTCATTTATTATAATAATTGGCTTTTGTACTGGTTTTTCTTCCACATCAAAGGTTATTAAATCATCACAATTATTGGGTTTCTGAAAAAATTCAATATCCTGTTATTCATAAAGACTATGTTATACTGCATTGTTAGTTGTTACCAAATTATCTTTCTGTCAAATTATATTAATACTTTGATGAAAGAGAACAGATGAGTGCATAAGTAAGAGACAAGATTAAGGTAGGAAATCGGATTCACTGTATACACTTAATTTTATCTTATCCTACTTTTGTCCTTCTGATATAAATGTTTTCTTTGTTTAAATTAAACAGTCCACTTATAAATCTCTCATCGGAACACCTCCAATTAATATACCGAAAAGTAACTATAATTAATGGCTATGACATAACAAAAAGATTTTGTATACTTACTTTACAAGTATTACTTTCAGTAGTTTTCTTTTTCAAAGCAGAAGCATAATTTAACATTGGTGATTTAGAACTTGATGGTAATGAGGGACTAGGAGATCTCTCAATCACATTATTTTCAATTTGTTGTATAGAATTTTCCTGGTCTGTTAAGTTTTGACTATTACTTATTACTATGTTTGGAGAGCTGAGCAAATCAATTAAGGGAGTCGAATTCAAAGCCTCTATACAAGCGTCAACCATTTCTACTTCTTTATCTATATATTTATCATTCAGTAATTTATTGTAAGCTGTCTCCAAATCTGCTGCTTGCTTTTCAGCTAGTATTGAGTTCATTTGTTTTATTTCAGCCTCCAACTCTCTTAAGGTAGCTTCATTTTTGGCAGCAATTCTGGCTTCTTCAATTAGTCTAACATCTACAGCTTCTTGTATTATCAATATTGCATCATTAGCATTATTGCTGGAAACTTTACTTTCTTTAACTATTTTGTTAAATATACAATGGGGTGATAATCTATTTACCTTTTTATATCCAGTTTGTTTTTCACCCAAATTAGCAGTTACATCTTCAATATATTCATACATATCAAAACAATTAATTTTTCCAAATCTATAAATTAATGTATGCGTTGAGCCTCCTAATGTAGCTTTTGATGATAGGTTACAAGTAACGAATGTTTTCTTGCCATGATATTTTACAAAATATTTCTGCAGTCCTTTTGATATTAATTTGTCCCGAAATGTTGCTTTTAAACTACTATTTCTACGGTACTTGTACCAACCTACAACTTCACTAGCAGCATTGGAGAGTAACTCTTTAATAAAGTCTTCCTTAATTCCACCCGAAGGTAGGTAAAACAATGAAACTGATGGTAACGGTAATACCGTTCTTATTGCTATTTCAGTGTCTAAACGAGCGCTATCGTTATGAGAATCGGATATATGGTTTCTAATCTCAGATGTCACATCACCAATCAAAAATCCTTCCTGAAAATTTTAAATTTACAATGAATAATACAATTACAATGATTATTTAAAAATGAATTAATTTAACTCTAGTATAACTCACTTGGCTGTTGGAGGAGTTTAAACATTCATACAGTAAAAAGGAAAGCGCAGTGCCATTAAGTGACACCTTTTCTGTATAGGCCATTTGAATGAATTTATTTAATACTTAAGACGAATAATGAAATTATGGTTTATCTTATATTTAACAATTATTTGGATTCCATTTTATATTTAAGGAAACGATTTGTTTTATGTATTTTGTAATAAAACTTAAAGTGATAGGGTCACTTGGCAGCAACTAATCCACAGATGTATTTGAGAAATGAGAAGCCAATGAAAATTCAAAACTAAAAACTGTATCCACAGACCAGAGACTTATATTTCTACTACTGAATCATACTCTAACTCTGAGTGTGACTATTAGAATAAAACAGAATATGTATTTTATTATTACAAAAAGCAAAGAAATACGGTAGTACCGATAAAATGTGTATAAAATATAGTTTATATTTATAATTATTGTCTTGATACTTCAAGCAATTACTCATTTTTATTTCTATTATATATTTTTTTTTCCGAATAGTTAACAGGTATCATAGCCTAAACTTTGTTTTATTTGATAGAATATTTCGTTTCTTTTGCAGGATTTGATTATTCCGAATAAAGTTGTGTTTTATAATAAATATAGTTTTAGTTTTCCATGCAATGCTAGTCATTTTAAGTATCAATAGTAAATGACTAAATACGTATAGTATTTAATTTCATAGAAATAGCTATAGTTACTATCAATGTAAAAAATAATAAAATAAAATGAAGTATCAAGTAAGTTGAATCCACAAAATATATCAAACTTTTAGGGATACCATACTATTTTTTTTTTAATTTGCCGTGCTTTTTCGTTATCTTTCATTAGCCAGAAACTAGTAGGTGATGTATAAAGTAGCTTTAGCAAAAAAAATACTTTCACACTTCACAGGCATATCGTAATAAGCTACCTACTAAATTTTAGGATTTGTATTTATATTTTTTTCTTTTAAGCCTAATGGTAAATATATAAAGAAATTAATAATAAATACTTAACGTATTTTTTTAATTAAATTTTTCACCAATAAAAATAAAACATCATGTGGTAACTTGTTATGGAATCTTTTGGGATGTTGAATTTATTACTATAACACATTATACTTGTTTAAACAATTTGACTTAAGTTTTATTTCTTTATAATTAATGTTTTCTTTAAAAATACTTCATAATCATTATAACTTTTTTATTTACATGGTATTAAGTTCCTTTGATGATACTGCTATTTCAAAATTTAGCATTCGGTTGTTTTACATAATTTCTCATACTTTTTTTAAAATTTTCTTTTATTGATGCTAAATCAGCAACAAATTGACATCAAATATACATGTTTGCTTTGACAAAAACTACTGCAAACCTTCGTAAATTTAAAAAAACGAAAAACTTTGTTGTGTCTCATTTTCTCTAGAAAATAAGCGACCGACATATTCCTTTTTTTGCTTTTATTAAATTTATTCTTATTCTATTTTACGGTTTTTTTTAAGAACCTTACTTTATCTACTCTGTAAAAGTCTGTGCTTGTAATTTGTCATCTGCTGTCTACATATAAATAAATAATTTAAATTTAAATTATTTTGCAATCGTAAATTGTGATTTGATGCGTGCTGTGGCGTTACATTTAAATATTGATTAATATTTAGATTGTTCTCTTTTTAAGGGTGAGTTTAATTGTAACAACAGGAAAGTTTTTGATAATCACTTTTGCCATAATGTATAATAACTACGCCTATTACAATCTTATCGCAGAATCTTAACGTATTCAAATAAAATAATAATAGACGATAAGAAGTTATAATGACTTTAACATATTGTATGTGTTAGGAAATATAATAGCACTGTAATTCTTAATTTTTTTTTGTGTTGTAAGAGTTTAAATTATGAAACCTTTAACTTTTGTTGTAGGTCATGCAATCTAGAAGACAATAAATTTGTATGCAGACAACACTTAATTTTATGTGTACATTGATAAAAAACCAAAGGTACAGACCAAATACTTGCATTTTAACATTAACTATGGCTGAAATAAATGTTTGCAAAAAAAAGGATTGCTTGGCTCAAGATAATATTTTATCCAAGAAATATTATAGAAGAGCTGAACACAGGTACAACTACTTTAGTAATTATCCTTTTTTAATCTCAATATATATAAGCCAAATGTTTCTTCAGTTAATTAATGTTGTCAGAGTAATGTTAGTGTACCCTACTGAAATACTGTTGAAATATCTTGTGAACAACAATGAAAATAAACTAAATTCTAGTAATTAATTTATTTGCTAATATGATTAATTCTGTTGGTACATATTATTACTTTATTTTCTTAAATATATCTAATATGACAATAGTTAGAAAATAATTAATTACCGAGATTTCCTTAATTATCTTTATATAAATCACAAATTATCCAAATCACATACCTTTTGACTGACTTCGTTTAAACTTTAGAATGTTCTGTAAATATATATTTCAAGTAATATGGAATTGAGTAATAAAACCTATAGAAACATATTTTACCATAAATAGTGTAATATTGATCTAAAATATTAGGTGAATGTCAAAGTTTCTATAAATTCTAATCATGTATACTAACTTATAACACAACTTTTTCTTTGTTCATATAACAGATAGGAAAATATTGTTTTTATATACATAGTTAATTATATTTTCAATTTTAACTTTTTTTCTTCTGAATACCAATATTATATAGTTTAAATGAGCATAAATGCAAGCAAGGCGTAAGAAAAAAAAACAGTGCAGCTCAACGCTCAAGTCTCGGCGTCTGTTATCTGTTTTGTGATATTTTTTTCCGTCGTAATATGTAAGGAGGTGATGCTGCCCTCTGTGCCTGACACAGGCCGTCGATTTTTAGGTTTAAGGAATTACCATACGAGTTAATTGCGCAAATAGGAAGAACAGCCTATTTTGAACGCACGGCCTCTGGTTTGAGTGGCGCACGCTCAAGCCACTAGGCCAACACGGTCCAGGCTATAAGAAAATTACTTAATAAAGAAAATGATAGCATAGTTCGTGAATTTACATCATTATATTTATCACATTTGACCTGATAACAGTTTTATCACGATGTGGGGTCAGTTTGTTACGATCTATTTGTGCCTTTTTGACGTGGATATCAATAGTTGTCTGAAATACTTGGAAGTGAGCTGTCGTACTTTGTTTTAATTTAAATAAAATGCCCGACGCGTTTGAAGTAGCCTATCCACTTTCGCCGTCCGTAAGTGCGCAAGAGATTCGCGCACGCGCCAATTCTTCTTCAAAACGGAAGCCAGTTGTGGCAATTCTAGGAGATGAAACCGTAGAAATACCTGATAAATCAATTGCCGGTGTTGACAAACCTCTATCGAGAAGGGAGTTTGAGTTAGGAAAATATTCAGAAATTATTCCAATAATGCACAGTACGTGGCTTGATCGAAGGCACTTGGAACATAGGTACGTATTATGACGCAAATGTTTTCAGAACTCACTAGAAAGTTACCTACAATATCAGGTAAAAAATATCAACTATAAAGATATGAGTTCTTTGACCTCGAAATGTTTATATGTACGTAAATAACTACTATTTTATGTTTATTAAACTCATTATTTTAAAGTATATCGTAATAGTAGTGTACTGGGAAAAGATTATGATAAATTGTAAGACCATTTATTTAAAATACACAACTAAAATAACAAAATATGTAGTTAATTTAGGTTTGATTGCTAATTCTCAATTTGTATTTGCATCAGGTTAGCCCTCATTGAAAACTCTTTTATCAGAATTCTACATAAATCACAATAAGGTCAATAACAATATTGACTTCAGTCACTATCGCTTGTGCGTCATTTTCTCAAGCCATTAATTGTGTTAAAAACTATAAATAAAAATCAGTGATAAAACTGGGATTTCGAAAACGTAAATTGTAAAATTTTGACAAAGATATATCTTCTATAAATTCAATTAAAATTGTTTGAAGCTCGATGGAGCAGTTATTATAGTCAGTGTGGAAGAAATATCAGATTGAGATTTGATCCTTTACCTTGCCTTAATACCGGCTATTTGTCATTTGAATTTTCGTATTGTGTTTGATAGTATGAATCAGCTGGCGTTGGAGCGGTCGCGGGGGAGGTTATAAAGGCCTCGTTAGCTGTGTGAATGGTGTTCGAATCGTAGTTCGTACTCAGTAATCGCGGATACTTTGCCGTTTGACAACGTCGAATTGTATGACAAGCGCGTCTTATCACGATAATCGTATGCAAACAGGTTTTCGCATAGTTATAAGTTCTAACAGTGACCGTGACATAATTTACATACATGTACATCATCGTTATACCGTTTATTTGTTTATGTGAAATTTGAATGCTGCTATGAGTTTTGGTGCTATTTCATATCCTTGACAGCTATCAGGTTTACCTTTCTATTGTGTATTATTATTGTAATTATAATTCTTGCTATACTTATATTTGCTCTAGTAATTTTTCAAACTTTAAAAATTAAAATTTAAGTATTTGACAAGATTCATTTTGTAGACCAATTCTTTTGTCTATATATATATATAAAACAAATTTTAATAGAAAATTTAAAGAGGTACAATAGAATTTTTTGTGCGAGTGCAATACAATTTGACTACATGGGAGTGTATTATGTAGCCACAAAATTTTGTATTATCTTGATAAAGCTGATTATTAATTTCGCGATAAGCTCTTTAAACACTATAGGGCTCATAGATGATAGAATGTCTGGCGAAATTATATTGATTCGAGTCTCATCGCTCCCCCAGACTGCGTCCTGCCCTCGTCCTCACAAATTAAATTATTCATCCGTAGCGTTTAAATGACCAACTCTTTGTGAACTATATAATCATATAATTTTTAAATTCAAATCACAATTTTTGTAATATTTGATCTAAAGTCTTTTGTCTCGTCCAACCAACCTTTGTTCTTGCAGTTTAAACTCATTCACACATTAGATCTATGAGATTTCACAGGAATCATTATTCTCTTAACCTTGTTGCTGTCAAGGATATTCAGTCAAATACTTCCTGTATTTGAATTCAGAGTAACACAAATATAGTTTGAATTATACTGCAACAGTTGATTTATAAAATACTTCTTTGTTTACTAATATCGAACACAAGGTTATTTAAGAACGAAAGTGCAAGTGAGTTAAAAATAAATTGTAATGCCATGAGGTATCAAGAAGTGATGGCAAATGGAACGTCAGATATTCCCGGTATGAGTAATGGCTCTTCTTACGGAAAAGGAGATAGATATACTGCGGCTCCTAACGAGTGAGTTTTACAATGTTTCCTATAAGTAAGAATCTTAAGGTTTTAGTAAATTTTACCCCAATACTTCATCTATCTTAGCAATTTTGTCACCGACAAGCGGATGCTTAGATTGGATATTTCGTGGTATTCTTTTATACAGTCTCGTTATCTTTGTTTATAAAATTCTTTCAACGTCAACATCCGAAATGCTTTGCGTGTGATATTGAGCATAATATAAACAAGAATCAGCAACTAATTCACTGGATGGAATAACTATTTCGAGATCACTGGAAATTCTGGAAATAAATATCATCTGCACTTTATTGGCATTGAATCTAATAATATTTGGCAAAAAGGTCTTCGTGGCACAAATTTGTGTTTAGCTGTCGGTAGTGTCGTAGTCTATCCCATTATTAATCGGCCCAACGCACCCAGTGACGACAATGCAATTTATATCGGTTCTATCACCTGTCCTGCACAGCAATATTGTTGACATTGGAAATAAATGTTATTTCAAGAATAACTTTGCATCTGTTAGAGTACCCAGTAATTTATCTGTTTTCTTAAATAGAACGAAAACAACACGTTTCGTAAGTCACATCTAGGCTTTAGTCGGTGAGAGTGTAGAAATCTGTCACAATATTCAAATTATGAATAGTTGTTACGCCTACCGCTTTGAATATATTATCGAGATTTTGAATAAATTTCCGTCATAGATTTCTATTGCATAATATCTCTTATCTTTGCTATTCTAATGAGGTCTGATGTAATATTTATGGAATATTTGAATGTTAGTTTTCCTGTTTGTCCAAAGCAAAACTTGCTAAACAGTGTTTCTTTGCCCGAAATATACATCATTAATGGTTGTAATTACTTTTAACTAGTTGTGTAAAATTAACTAAATATAACTGTCATATTTTAAGAGTCATTTTACCTGGATGTATGAATAAGAAAATTATATTGTTTTTTGTATTTATTGATGTTTATCAATAAGAAAGATTATTTGTTGAGAAAACTAACTAAACTATATAAAACACAGTGGGCCGTTGCGTCATGTGTCGACTGTAAATAGGAATAATATGAATTCACTTTCCTCGAACGTGTTAGTCTTTTTGTCCTACATTTTCACATTATACCTACATGAATATGGTAATCGTATTTGAAACAGTTAAATGCTAATACAAATATTTGTTGCAGGATCTTTGTGAACAGATCTCTCCATTTAGAAAATGTAAAGTTTTATGGCTTTGATATGGATTACACTCTGGCTGGTGAGTGATTAATTTATAAAAAACAAGTACTGAGTCATTGAAGTGTCGCAGTGTTTGTTTTGTTATATATCAGTAGTAATTGTTTTATTGCAGAGTATAAATCGCCGCAGTATGAGACATTAGGATTCAATCTTACCAAAGAAAGGCTAGTACATAAGGGATATCCGCAAGAAATTTTGGAATTTGAATATGACCCCTCGTTTCCTGTTAGGTAAGTTAGTGATTTTTTCATAGATTGCAATTATGAATTAATCTTTGTGTCTTACGTTGTAATACATACGATTTACGATGTTTTAATTAATAATTCTTCGACAGTGCTGTGGCACTGATGAGTTGGCTATGCACTATTTTTTCGAGAAACGATTTAAATATGAACTTAGCTAGTTTATTTTAAGTGTAAAAATGCTGTTATCGACGAGTGATCTACTCGAAATAGTGAATGATGTCATACTTCTGTAAAATATTTGACGCATAGGTTTAATATTACGCTACGAATTTGGTCACTCAATATATAAATAAAATTCTGATATATTACCACTTTTTTTTGCAATATGCGCCCTGTGTCTTAAACGAGATGCATTTTTGCGCCTCTATTCAAAAGGCGTACATTTCGTATAATGGCCATAAACTATATGAATACCTAAACGGAGCCTTCGTTATTAAAACATTTTATTAACATTTTTATTACTATGCCATATCTGTATTTTAATCGATCTCGCGTCAGTCGTCCCTCGAGAAAGGCCTCCTTCTAGACGCTCTATCCGTTCAATTGTTCAGCCTTTCACCAGATTTCCCTTGCTTTTTCTTTGACCCAAGGGATGCAATAAATTAATAATTCTGTCAACTTTTAATATGTCCATATTGACGCTTTCATGTACGCTAATATTTTTTTCCTTTCTTAAATTTAGTTTACTTTCTTGTTTAATTTAACTCATTTAAAAAATGAGATTTCTTATTTGGTGATTGTAATTTTGTATGTTTTTCAGAGGTTTGTGGTTCGATACATTGTATGGAAATTTGTTAAAAGTCGACGCGTACGGTAATATTCTTGTATGCGTGCACGGATTTGAATTTTTGAAACAGTAAGTATTTGTATATATTTATTAAAATCTCTTACCACAAAAGATTATGGCATGGCTAATATTTTTTAATTTTTAAGACATATTTTATTAAAAATCCAACAAAATTGGTCTAGGCTTTAAATTAAATAAAAGACTCTTTGAAGTTATTTTAATATTTTTGTTTTCAGTTCACAAGTGTACGAATTGTACCCAAATAAGTTCTTAACGTTGGACGAGTCTAGAGTGTATGTGTTAAACACGTTATTCAATTTGCCGGAAACATATTTGATAGCTTGTCTGATTGACTTCTTCACAAACTCACCTCAGTACGCAAGGTATTTAGGTATTTTTATTAACTTTTTGTGACGTGTATTAAATTTAACCTAACCTAAACGGAGGATCTTCGAACCAGTCTAAGCACTGACTGACTCGAAGGCCCCAGTCGAGGGTTGGGACATTGGAATAGCGTGATTCTGGGAATGACGTCAATGTCAAAGATCTGTTTTTAATATTTATTTATTTATCCGATTTACAAAGCTATCTTTATCATTGGAAGTGTCTTTGTAGAGATTTTAGAGAGTGTTCCTTTAATTATTGGAGTTAGTTTTTTGGTTACGTAGTGCGTAAACACTAAAGCAATTCGTCGACAGTCGTAAATGTTTCCATTAATTTTAGGGAAAAAACTGGAGTAAGATGCGGAGATTTAGCTATGTCGTTCAAATCGATATTCCAAGACGTCAGAAATGCGGTAGACTATGTTCACATTCATGGGGACTTGAAGAAGAATACCATAGAAAATCTAGATCTGTATTTGAAGAAAGACAAGAGGCTCCCAACTTTCCTTTCAAGGATAAGAGATAGCGGTGCGAAGTTATTCATTCTCACGAACAGTGACTACAATTTTACAGACAAAATCATGAACTATTTGTTCGATTTCCCTCATGGGGCTAAGGTGAGTAAATTTTAATTAAACTGCATGTTTTGGTACGACTGCTGACGAAAAACTAAGTATGTTTCCACTATATATCGTATTCCTATGACTATGTAAAACCAAATAATTAATGAGTAGTTCTACTACAATACACAGAGTCAAGGTAAACACACACACACACAGGTCTAGTTAAACTTCCCAGCACGTAAGATGCAATCTTTAGATGCGCAAAAGTCCTTGTGACCTTGTCTAATAAATCTTGCGCTTGCGCGATTTTCCCCTACCTCACAAAGTCTTGTAAATTGACACTTCGATACAAACAAAGGCGAACGAAAATAATATCTTTTTTTCTTGTGACAATTGAAATATTTGAATTTGAGCTATATTTTATCTTCAGATAACGTGTCAATAATAATATTTTGACTGATATAACGTTAGTGTCTCTGTGTTTCACATACCCTATCACTTATATAGTAACGAATTATTGATTCGTAATCACAAACTGCATTGGTAATTTTATCTTTCACTCATCATCTTAAAACTCTGGGCATCTATGGGTTTTCGATAATGAACATTAGATACATTGAACAAAACAAAACACAAATTTTAAAAACTTATTTTCATCCAAATTGTTATTACTTTTCTGAAAATTATTTTTCCTGTTCATAAAATCGTATATTCTAGTAATTTCAGACGTAGTTTAATAGTACATTTAATTGAATATGTCCTATTTAAGTCGGTTTAAAGTAAATTATGAAACGACAAGGACATATTATGTCCTTATTATCCATATATTATATGGATAATAAGTACTTATCTATTTTGCGTTGTAACATAATTACATAACTTTAATTACAATGCAATAGAATCGTCTGCGGTTTGAAAACAAACATCTATAAGAAATATCTGCGGTAAATATGTAATAACACACGTTTCCAAGGCAAAAAAATGTTTATAGCAAGTTGTTTGTGTAAAAAAAACCATTGGCTGCATGGTCTTGAGAAATAAAGGAATAAGGATATGTATGAAACCGCTGCATGGACAATTGTCAATACCTGTGAGGCTTTTTAAGAAGTGGTACACTCATCTTGGAGCCTAAAGTCTAGACGAACTAGTATTTTTGAAGAGACGATGTACAGAAATACAAGTGTTACAATAATAATGGTTGAAATTCGTTTGAACAAGTGCGAATTATAAATGGGAAAAGAAAATTAATATTAAACTGTAAACTTTAAATTTACGTGACATTTTATTAATTCTATTTATATCACGTTCTTTATAAAGTATAATTATTAATTAAGTCAAATAATCAGTTAATATCATGAAGATTTTGCGAAGTAGCGTTGTCAAATATTATTATTATTTTCTATAAAATTTTGTCGACATAGTTTCATATGTCTTACGACCCTGACATACCATAATTTTTTGCACACAAGTGATATGTATGCTTGATTTATTTGTCTTGTTTTTGTTACGACCTTGGCATACCAAATTTTTTGTTATACCATTTTATGTATATGTTTTCAGTTACCAATTGCCGTAATTATTAATCGCTCTAGAATACTATATTTTTTATTTCTTATAGTTTTAAATTTATCAATTTTTTCCTATTTCGATATCATTCTACACACATTCTCACAATCATCATTGTCGGGTAAAGAGTAATATCTATTAATTAATCTATTAGAAAATTCATTAAAATATTTTCCAATGTTACATGTTTCGGTGTTAGTTCATTGGATAATTTAATACACTGATTTATATCAAGTTTTAAACACAAAGTGATAAAATATATTAATGAAAATTTGGTAAAATAAACAATAATAATATATTAGTTGGAGAAAATACTCAACAAATACAATAGTTATAACAGTAGAAAGTTGAATACTGATGAGTGACTTATCGTTCTAATAATAAATTTATCGTTACTTTATTTGTACAAAAATACAACAATACACTCTTCAGCGCATCCGGCGATAATAATATCTCTTTAAAGCCACCAATTTCAAAGGAAATAATTTCTAAAAACAAAAGACGTCTTCAAGACCAAAGATATCATATACCCTATGTAAAAAATATTTCACAGCCCGGCGATCCTCACAGGAATTGGAAGACCTACTTTGACTGGATCGTGGTAGATGCGAAGAAGCCCCTATTCTTCGGCGAGGGCACAACTCTTCGGCAAGTGGACACTCGTACGGGGGCACTCAAAATGGGTCACCATGTTGGACCTCTGCATGAGGGTCTTGTGTATTCTGGAGGTAATTTCCTTATCAGTTTTTAGATGAATTAAATCATAACTTTTGCTTGAAAAGGCCTAATTTCACCTATACCGAAAATATACATATTTTGGTGCAAACAAAGCCACTCAGCTAAAAGAATAACTAACTACGTACACCCAGTATTGGGACATGGGCCTAAATAATTTAAAGTTTATGATATGAGCTGTATTTATAGAATATTATTGACAGTAATGTTTACATTAGGCAAAATTTAGGCGTAATAGTTTGAAAGATTAAATTATTTTAATGGCGGTATATCGCTTGTTTGAAGTCGTATTTGCGTATTTAATTAGACGGTGAGATGGTGTTTTAAATAATCGTTAGCTTAAAATATTTACATGGAAAATTACTATAGGACGCAATCACCTTATAAGAAATTTCATAATATAACTTTTGGAAGAGTAAAAAAGCCTTTTCAAAGACATTTCATTTTTATACGCTTCTTATAGTAGGGAACTTTTGTTTTGGACAGCTAAACTTTAGTAAGTATGTTTCCATATTTCTGCCCCTGCGCAGTAAATAATATCTCGTCCTTAATTGAATCAACAACTTTTATTTCCTCTTTATCATATTATTATCGATTATTTGAAGACAGATTTGATTGTATGTTGTTTTGAAATTTTGATGCTGTTTGCATTGCATTTGAAAGATTTATTTTTTCAAACTAAGTTTTCTGTACGAAATTACGATAGTGTAACCCAACTTGTGAAAAAGACCAATTAAAGTATGTACTATACATACGATGATTTATAGAAGACATCAATATCTACTAAAAAGTCCTCGATACTACGTCTAACAAAAAATATTATTTTTGCATTTCAAAGTGACTGTGCTTCTATTTACAGAAGAAAGCATTAGGCTTTACAACATCCTGCTACGACCGATTTAATGCTAGTGGAGCCACAGAGCCTATCTAGTTAAATTTAATTGTCGTCTCTGAGTAGTGGTATATGAGCCTGACACATTGAACTTAGCACAAGATTCCTTATAAGTATATTTCATCAGTATACGTTCAACAGAGTAGTCAATACCCATTTGGGTTATAAAACGTGTATTATTTAGGTCAGTATGTAACGTCTTATAATATCTAGTGTGAATATTACGTGGCCTGTGGGTTGATTTATGTTTTAAGCAACTAGCGAGCACAAACGACCGTATATAGTAGCCGCAAATAGTAATGTTTTGTCTTGTCAAATAAAAATAAATGTTTAATTGGATTTGTTTAATATAAAGCTTATATGTTATGTATAGGTTCCGAATTGTGAATCTGCGCCGGTATCCTTTATATATAATATAGCCTTTTTTCTCTATTTCTATATAGTTCTTTCGATTTCTCACACGTGTCCCTTTACCATCGCTTTCGCTACTCAATATTACCGTATCAGTGTTGAATCATACAGTACTAACGTAGTACAAAATTTAATAAAATAGAAATTGCATATGTTGCAAAAAATTAAAAGAATTTGTATTTATTATCCTTATCGAAGTGAAAATCAATGACAATACGTTATCATCTGACATTGATCTGAGAATCCGTGTTGCTGTTTAGTGATAAAATTCAGAAATTAAAAATCATCTGCAAGATTACTTTTGAAAAACCAAAGATGACTCCCGTAAAAACAATAATAGTTTCAAATTGCTACAATAACAGGTTAATTGCTTATTATCGTTAATATATAATCAATGAAACCTACGAGGAAATGTGATCTAATGGTATTTCAAACAATTTGGTTAACGAACGAAATTCCAGATTCTAATTCTAGTTCCTAAAGGCGAAAGTTGCACAACATATCGTGTCATCGACTGATAAATAATCTGTTTACAAATTTCAGCTTGTCCATTCTGTTTATTAAATTATTTATAAACATTAAAGTTTTATTACAATCTGTAGAGTAGTTACGAATGCAGGACACATAAAATTTTATTTTTATCTATGTGTTTAAATCTGTGTCTTAATAGAGCGTTGAATAAGTTTATTATTTGCCTTGGTTACTGCGTCATAAATAATCTTATCTTATTGGTTACTATGGAATATTATCACATGTTAAGTCGTCATCAATTGTGATAATTAATTTTTGATAAAAATAACGTCGTAACCATCTGCTATTTAAGTCCACGTTATAATAGGGTTGCTTGAATCCTAAATATTAGAAAATATACTTTGTGACATTGACCAGTTATCACTAGTGGCTTTGGTATAAATATTGTTATATGATCAGGCGTAAGGTAACGCCAATCCTTTATTGTTTCATCATTTCATTTCATCGTTTCATACGTTTCAAAGAAAGAGACTAAACTACAAACTAGTAAAGAACTAGACTGAATGTGATCTTCATTTGTTTTAATAGTGTTTGTTATGTTAAACACCTTGAAGTAATATTTAGATCATGTTTTTGTCTTACTAATAAAGTAACTACTTTCGTGAACACTCATCACAGTGCGCTTAATTCGAAGGTCATTCCGAGTAAACAGTACATTGTTTTGAGAAAAGGTATTCAAACTGAGAATGTGTGTATCGCGTTCCATTCCAGTACCACGCACATACGTTACGCTTTAATTAGAATTATAGATTATTATCTATACATTATTTAAGTTTACTTTACTTTATTCATTAATTAAGTTTATCTTATCTTGTAATATCAGGCTTATTTATAATAAATCAGTAATATGGGTTAGAATAAACGTGTTTACCGATTGCTAATTTTAAACCACTGTTTCTCCAAGTTGGTTATCTTTTTTGTTTGTGCGTAGTTCGGAAATAACAGCGTAACCATTGTAACAAACATGGCATTATCTTTAAGCCTCATTAATTAGACCGTATATAACGACGAAAAGACTGCGTTTTTTTCTGACATTAAAGGTTTGTTAAATGGAAAGAATTATTATTTAACTATTAAATATAGTAGCAACCAATGTCGAGCAATTTCGATGTTTTAAGGAGATTGAACGAGCGACGTCATGTTGTTTTGTAATCGGAACATATTATATAGTATACATATTCTCGAATTACATATTTTTTATTTATATTTTACTCACACATATTGCACATGCAAGAATTTAAGAATACATACAAAACCGTTTACGACGACATCGTTTAGAACAACATACCGGTTATATTGACCAAAATCGCAGGTCCCGGCTGAATTCTATTGTATTAAGTACTTAATAACAACAACATCGGCTGTTACGACTATCGGTTTTTACGACCAAATATGAGAAGTCCCTCCGATGTGGTTATAACAGATTTTGACTCTTATTATTATATTTCTAGTAAGCGATCTCTCCTGGGCAAATCTTTTTTTATATCTGAGGTGGAAAAGTAGCACGGGTATGTGGGACTTGATCTACACCAGAATCTGTACTATTCAGAGACTTGGTAACAAAAACTGCTAACCCACCTCGGGTACACAACCTACAAGGCCACGTTAAAGTGGCTCAGGGGTCGGTTACCCATTCTAACGCAGAATCAACGCACTCAAAACCTCCGGTGCAGTATACACTGCATAGGAGGTAGCATGGGTAGATCTTCTCCTATTTACTCCTCGTCTTATAACCCTAGTATTCGTCCTGGAGCGCCCCCTCTCTTCTACTGTATAGCATAAAATCGGTGTTGGTTCCTAAGCAATTCTATAAGGGCCGAAACACATAAGGGTTGGCGCGCTGAAATGCAGTGCGCTATAGGGTGCGGCCCGCAACGCAGAGTAGCGTTATGACGTCATACTTGTTGACAATGATGCAGTTTGTTTCTAACACTCTTGCAAACAACACGTGTCAACGAGAAGCAGTTTTAAAATTAAAATGTCTACGTTGACGTCGATCTGTTTATATCTTGGTTCAGGAACACCGTTGTTTGTGGGATACTAGTGACGAAACCTATAAAGACAAATTTATAAAAAAGAAGCATGGAAAAGATTTGGAGATCTTTATTATTACAAGGAAAAACTCAACCGAAAAATCAAAACTGGGTAAGTAGTAACATATAGTCTTAGGCAATGATATTTTAAACTAAAGATAAGTTATGTTCATAGTAATTTAGTTTTAAATCTTTCTTTTTAAATCATTACCTCCACAATCAAATCACACATTAAGTTTTATATAAAAACCAAAAATATAAATAAAAGAATTAAAGAGATAGTATAATTTAGACAAAGTCTACTTCTATTTTAAATAGAGTTTGATTTTTTTAAATTGATATAATTTTTAGCCTATTAAATATTTAAATAGGAAAATTTATAATAAAAGTTAATTTGATTTGTTTGTTTCAGAGGTTTGCCCAAACCATAACACTATATGAAAATTTTTATCAAATAATTATACAGGGTAAAATAAAACTAAAATTTATTCTCATAAACATAATAAAAAAAATAAAAACCTATTTTTTTATTTTCCAGATTTAAAAACTGTTTTCCTTATTTTTTTCTTATATATTTTTACTCTATACTTTCAAATATATATACTCTTAAGTAGAACAATTTTTTTTTATTATTTATAAAAACTGATTTTATACTTATTTGATTATATTTTATAGAAGAATAATTTAAAAAATAAGAATAAGTTATTAGTCTAGACTAGAAAATGGTTGCCCACCGTTCGTAAGCCAGTTGTAAAACGTGAGTGTATAAAACATAAAATATATGATCATAATGTAAATTTAATATGGCAAAGAAATACTTGAAATGTATTAAGTGTGTGTTTGTCCTTGAACTTCATATCAGTGTTGAAATTATAATACCGACACTTAATGAGCGTTAAACACGCAAATAAGTACACGCACACACAGAGTGGCAGTTATAATTATTAATTAGAAAAGCGCGCTAAATTAAAAATTCGTTCAAGCAATTTATTAGTACTAATCGGGTAAGTGCGGCAACGTCGCATTAAATATTCTAAGTACCAAAACCGCTTTGAATTTTCATAGATATTTAGAGTCAAGCGAACCTTGTTAAAATCGCTAAAGGGTCTTGTAGCTAAGTTTCGTAAAGGCGTTCGTATGGAGTGGTTCTATTCCCGGTCGATGCGCAAATTAAAATACCTTGAGCAATATGAGGGCCCTTGGAGTGGCTTTACTGTCTAAAATAGTGTAAACATGTGAACATTTGGACAAACAGAATATGATTAAAAAATTAAAATTTCAATATACAATCTACTAGAACTGATTTATTTTTTGGCTTTTTGTGCAATATTTGGTATGAATACTTATTCCTTAATCCACAGGATCCTGTGACGTGTTCACGGAACTGATTAGCGCCAAGGGCAAAGACGTATTGTACATCGGTGACCACATATTCGGAGACATCTTGAAGTCCAAGAAGATTGGTGGATGGCGTACATTCCTCATAGTTCCAGAGTTAGTCCAAGAGCTTCATGTTTGGACAGACAAGTGCCAATTGTTTGCTCAACTCCAAAATTTGGATATACAACTCGGAGATATGTACAAGTGAGTTTTTTTAGACATTACATACCTTTTCCCTGACTTGGTTTAGGTTTTTCTAATTAAAAGTGTAAAAACAAAGTTTTTGTCACGCAAAAACTTGTTATCTGTTAACGTAATTTTTTATACACTCTATCTTATTATTTACGACATATGTGTATTGTGTATACTTCGTTGAATTGTAATTCTTTATTCAAAAAAATATAATTTCTTTACAGAGATCTCGATTCGAGTACAAAAGAGAAGCCAGATATATCAAAATTGCGTGCGGCCATTCGTGACGTCACACACAAGATGGATCTTGCTTATGGTATGCTCGGGTCGCTCTTCCGTTCCGGGTCTAGACAGACTTTCTTCTCGTCACAGGTATGAGAAAATTAAACAAAATCCCTTATTTATAATGTTTTTACCTTCTGCCTACCCAGGTACAGTATATTTAAGGCTTCGGACGTTGTATTCAGGTGTAAATAATATTGAAATTCAAAGATACATTATTGCTACGCACAATTTAATAAGTAATAGTTTACCAAAAATTAAACATGTTAGAATGATAATCGAAATTGACAAAATAAATTAAGAATTGTATAACAAGTAAACATTTTTATGTCTATTAAAATACTCCTATATCATATTTTAAACCGTAACCATGGTAACAATCGTTGCTCACATAGTGCATGGCAGTGACACTATACTATGAATTATTTCTTTATGAGTACCATCATAACGTAGAAGAAACACATACTATGGTAACATTATATGCAGATAGGTATTGAATATTTCTTTTTTATAGATTTCGTTTTTTTAAATGTTTGAGATAAAGTAGATTATGTCGTAGGATATATGTGGGTTGTAAGTTATAGAATATTGTTTTTATTAATGAATAAGTATAGAGTGCTAAGTTGCTGTAAAATAGAAGATAAATATATATATATACAGTTCTCAAATCAAGGGCGTATAACGGACGAGAAGAACTGGCAATAAACTCTCTGCCACTCTTAATTACCCGTCCTATTACTATTCCAGGTGGTGAGGTACGCAGACCTGTATGCAGCATCATTCCTTAACTTGATGTACTATCCCTTCTGCTACATGTTCCGTGCCCCGGCTATGCTCATGCCCCACGAGTCTACGGTCGCACACGAACAACGATTCACCGTTGATACGCCCACTATTGACAGGTATGATTAGTTAATTAAAACTAAAAAAAAAGGGTGCGTGTACTTTGTACGCGCGTAAGAAGTTATACTTCTTTGGTATTATTAAAAATAGTTTTTGATTGCATGCAAATAATGAATTACAATTAAATAATCAAAGACTGGAAAAGGAGTCATTATAGTTTACATTTGAAAAATTAAATAAATAAATATTATTATTCTCTAACATTAAGTGTATTATAAATTCTATTATTATTCGAATGTTGTTTTTAAATTATGTCCAATGCCGTAGCATCTTCCGTGGGCAACTTCATTGCGTTAATTTTGTGTCACGGTGCGCGCGCATCGTAAAATTTCACTCTCATAAATTTTTCATAACGCGCCTAAAGAAGTATAACTTCAAAATATACAAAAATTAAGTAATATTTAACCCTGAGTTCGTAGCACTAATAATACGTAGAATTGTATTCAAATTCAAAATCATTTATTCATTTAGGTAACACACTTACGAACATCAATAAAGAAATACATATTAAATGTTTCTTATTTTACATTTACCAAAACAAATTATATTTTTGTATGGAAAACTAATTCGACTTTGGGTTCTTCAAGATAAGTGCGTTGTTAAAAGGCTGTCAATGTACTCGCGAGCCCTCTGACATTGAGAGTGTTCATGGGCGGTGGCATTTCTTAACATCAGGTGAGCCTCCTGCCCGTTTGCCCCCTGTTCTATATAAAAATGCGTTTTGTGAACTTTCTTTGCACTAAACGAAAGCATAAGCATTTATAGAACGAATAGGCTATTTGACAGTATGAAAAATAAAGTGTTATTGAGTAATCCATATAAAACATGGCTTTAAAGCGTTATGGGTTTATTAAAAATACATTAAAAAAAATATAATTAAGAATATTTTTTTCATACTTAAGTCACATGACACAAAGCGATCACAGATTAGTCGAATTTACGATGACGTAACATGCTTGTAAATAATATATCTACGTCTATCCAATCTTAATGCTATCTTGGAGTTTAATTTCGTCAGAGGTTGAGTTTGATCGGAATGCAAAATATGTAATTTAAGAATGGCAATTAATGAAAACCTTGAAGTTTGTTTACGTGTTTACACACATGATATGTCATAAGGAATGGTGCGACACCATCTTATCTAAAGAAGCGTTTTGGCGGTTTCCTGAAAATGTGAATTTCAATTTAAAGCCAATTCTTAATGAAAAATAACAATTTGTGTAGTATAAACTATAGGCATGCATTAAAGTCTCATCCTGCTTCAAAAAATTATCAAGGAAATGAAAAGAAATGTCTTATTCAAAGCGTTTTTATTATTATGTAGTTGTCACTATTATTATAACCATTGGGATATTACTAGGTTGATATCACAAACAATTGATTTAATAAATAAATACGCAGCTCTTATCTGTCGCCGCATCCACTTCACTCGTTACATTATCATTGGTTAAGTTCGATCTCAATGTTAGATAGAAAATATTGACCTAATACCCGGAGAGCCAAAACTTGGGCTTCTACTTAATAATTTTATTAAAACTATATAGAGCAATGATCGTGGAGATTAGAATTGTTCTTATTACATGATATTGAAAAAACCTAGCTTTTCATTTATATACTTTATATTTCAAAGATTAAGTATATGCTATAAATGTTCATCAAATTATAACTATAGTAAACTATATATTATAATAATAAACTATAACTACCCTGAAGGGAAGAGAATTGGTTGGTCTTCGTTATATTTTCGCCTTGGGTGTTTTTAGATCAACGCGAGCGATCACTTTTGTACGCTCAACGTCAAAACGTTAAATAGGTTCTTTATAAGCATTGGTCAACAGTAGTTGCAATGGATGAAAAAAATAACTTATTAAGTGTCACTGCAACAAGTGTTTAACGGTACATTAACTATTCTTCTTATTATAATAAAAAAAAATATTACTAAAAATAATATTTTTTTATTTAATGTTACTTAAATAAACACAGGATATTTAAAAAATACCTCATTCAAAATAATACAAATTATGAATTGTATGAAGGGAAGTTTATATTTATCCACAGATCGAGACAGACATACGCCCAACGCGCTCTCAGCGCTACTTGCGTGGCCGAGATTTCCTCTGATGAAGCTGCTGGATCACAGGATTCGGACAGCAAGGTATAAGATAATTAATGAATAGTTAAATATTAACTTGTGGGACTAAATCGTGTATTTATTGCATTATATATATATTATACCAATGGCGCTACAACCTTTTTAAGTCTAGTCCTTAGATTTCTGTATCTGTTCCTTGACCATTTCTAATAGCAAGTAAGCTATTAATATCACCTATACACACACATATATATCACCTTCTGTGCCTAATGCACACTGTCAACTTTTTGGGTCTAAAGCATGCCCGGTTTCCTCGCGATGTTTTCCTGTTAAATGCGCACATAGAAAGTCCATTGATGCACAGCCAGGAATCGAACCTACGATCTCAGGATCAGGGATAGAGTCGTACTTTGAAGCCATAAGACCCAGACGTAAAAAGATTGTAGCGCCAGTGATATTATTTTGTTATTGTAATTTCTAATATAGTTACTACAAATTAAAATAGGCAGAACTAAAATTTAACTCGTATATTGATATCAACGATATCTATAATCTGGATAAAATCAAAATATCATTTATTCACGTAACTTCATGTACACTTATGAATATCAGAAAAAAAAATAATGCTTCTAAATTTCCATTTACTGCCAGTTCTCAAATCAGGGGCGTCCGACAAGAACTGGCAATAAACTCCCCGTCACTGTTTTAAAACCCCAAGGTTTTTTTTTACAAAATGATTTTTAACCTGCAACCATTACGTCATGCTCCTTATCGCATCTTAAAGCAATTATAATAGTAAAAAATAATTAAGAAAAACAAACGTTTAACCTATCATCACAAGGCGCGGTAAAATAGGAGTATGCATTACTGTGGAAACAACACGCAAACACTAGTATCAATGAATCAAGGCAGAAAATAATATCATCACATCGTACCCTGAATCGCGCTATCAAATTGTTTTCATGTTAGATATATAAGATCTCGACATCAGGCCCTTGGCGGTCTGTATCTTACTCCATATAAATATTATTTCTATTTTTTCTAGAACTCAACAGTACCCCATGTTCGTCCAGAGACGCCCCGGCAACTGACACACACACACGACGAAGATTGTTCTGACGATGAAGATGTTTCTAAGGGGTCACACAAATAAAACAAGGTATTTTTAAACTGGGTTATAATTCAATTAACCTTTTGTGTCTGAAGATTTTTGAGTATTACGCTGATTAGTCTTTAAAATTTAAAATGAGTTATGTATGATTTAAAATAAAGTTAAAAGAAAGAATTGTAAAGGTCAGTTTTAGACTTACGCCTATATCATACATGTAAAAATGGGACATGATATTAACATAACGTACTCCTAACTATGTATAGATATCCTAGATTCTATGTGTAATTTTTTTATTGTGTTTAATTATAATCCTTAAACTTAAGTTTGTATTTTTACCATGGTTACGATGTTTTTATTTAATTTTAAAAAGCCATGGTAGTCTGCGATAGGAAGGACTTGGCTTAGCGTCAATTCATTTATTTACGAAAATTATACTATTTTTTTCATAATAAGTATCAAGATTAACTGTCGAACTATAATGACGTAATCAGTATAACAAAAAAAAATCCCTCGACACTTAACGCACTAATTAAAGCAGGTACATACTACTATCTGGAGTCCAAATTAGACAACAATGTCTGTGAATGAAACACTGTATTTTTATTCGTAAATAAAGTATTAACAAAATTAAGTATTATTTCAATGATGAATATCAACACAATTTCAATTATTAATATCATACCATCATGTTCGCCCTTCCACGCTTTTCGTAACGATTAAAGGTAAGCCGTGGAAATAACTACAAGAGAAACCTATTTTTTTAATTCATGTGTATTGTTGTAGGTACAATAGTCGACCGACGCAGAAACACTGGCCTGGTTTACGTTATGAATATAATTGTTTCCCTTTAAACCTTATGTTAAAACAAAATTTTAATGTATAATAATTTAAATATTAACCATTTTAGACATCTAATTTGTCCTAAAGTATCATTTTTAGTGACAAAATGTTTATGATTATAACCAATACGAAGTATTCACCAATTCACAGATGACCGTAATTAGGCCCCTTATCACCCGTTTTTAGTCGCTGGATGGGTGTTCGATAGCGTTTAATCAAGCACTTTAATAATAATTATTAATAAACGTTTTTTCATACTGAGCTTTGTTATCATAGGAATAGTTTTAAGCGCTAGATTGGCGCAAATAAGGGTCATGTTTAAAGCGCTTCGAGCGTCCGCATTGCTATCAAAAGTCGACATTTGCAAGGTTCCCAATTCCCTCGCTACACCGGACATTTGTGGCTGATCAAGATTAAAAGCAAATTGTGGCAGCATTTTTTGGCTTTTTAACAATTAGTTATAGTATGTTTTGTTGGACAATGGCTTATTCATTCTACTTTTCTAACAATTAAGTTTACGAACAACAAGTTTTTTAAAGTTGCAAATTTACCAGTAAAGCACAATTTTGAAATTTAAAATAGCGTTTCTAGTGGAATTTATAAGTCATTGTATGTTGTGTTTTGTAAGATTTATGTTGATAATAAATTTTATTTTTTGTTGTGAAATATTCACAATTGGTATAATTGTTAAGGTAAGTTCGAATGTCAATTTATTACAATATTAAAATATATATAATTATAAAGCTATATATGATAATTTTCAATATACAGTTATCAGTCCTTATAGTCACATACTACATAAAAAATTAAATCAAAATTCAGCGACTCGATGTTGTTTCTCTCTATATATTACCTTGTAAAAGATAGAGACAGCTACGTCATTGCTCTTTGAGTTCTTACGGCTTTGAAAAGGGACTTCTTCAATTACTGTACGCACATGAATAATCTCTGATAATAATTGTAATTAGGTAGAGTTAAAATGTAGCTATAGGTGACACTAAGTGTAAAGTGGAGTCTAAATTAAAAAGAAAAAAGTGTTTTTACATCCTAATTTCAATATTTCCAATGAATGTCCTTTCGAACCTCAAATAAACGATGTAAATGAAAAATAAATCCGAAGTCAACATAAGTTTTAAATCAAAGAGGTGACTATAATGGCAATACATTTTCCATGTGTAACGTAATGCTTGCGATGTCTAGTTTATTAATAGAAAAGACTAAGGGAGGCGGGTGTCAAACCCAATACAACTTAATCTTTGTTTTATTTCTGAATCTAAATATATAAATCTCTAGGAAAGACGAGCTTTTTCAACTTTTGTGTCAATTTTGGCATTTTATTCGATGATAAAAAATGCTTTTGTTTCTATAAAGTTATTTTGTTCTAGCCAGTCTAGACTCCACTTAAAATTGACTGAGCTGCACATATTAATTGTTATTTGTGATTAGATACGAGTATTGTCCCTAACTATTGATTACAAGTATGTGATTATTACTAGTGATTTTAATATATTTTTAAATTACCAGAGTAAAATTGAACACAATAAATAGATTGAATCATACATTGTGTATTTTATTTATAACCTTCTTATAATATTATAACAGCAATTCTTCCAAGTAGTCTTCGAACTCTTCTTCGCGAGATTTTTCTTCTGTTTCTTGAACACCTATAAAAATATTAAGCATTAAGGATGACGAAGAAGATGTTCACAAAGTGACATACCTAATACATTTTTAGTTTTAATTCCTAAATCCGATCAAATGGTATTAATGTTTCTATATAAATATTAAACTTGGCTAAGTTTTATGTTTAGGCATACAATTTTTTTGTGTCAAATGGACGGTGTTTCCACTGTAATCCTAATAGGTTTTGTCTATACTATGAAACGCGGAAAGGTTTTTGTCACAGGGGAAATTCATCAGGAATAGGGTTATTATTTCGAGGTGGGCTGGACTGCCGTGTCTCAGTTCGGACCCTCGATAATACGCGTAGGTATGCTATTACGTTTTGAGGTAAGAAAATGCTACACTGAATCCAGCGGGCCACTAAGTCAACCTAGGTATCTATAATCCATATTCTAATGTTACAGTCTCGTCTTGAGCACGTTAAATATGCCAATCTTCATACAGAAAAAATGATTTGACAGATTGTGAAACTAAGTTTAAATTTGATTGACGTCCTAGAATATGTGCCTAAGAGGCGGTGCCGCACTTTGTAAACTTCTACTTGGCAACATCGAATCTTAAAAGTAATATGACCTTTCTTCCACAAAGAGTTTCCGTCATCGGTCACCGCTTGGACTGATGTCGATGGCTCCTCAGATATGTCTTCAGTTTCTATTTGGGGTACATCTTCTTCTTCAACTGATTCTTTACCACGTTTCTTCTTTTTATGACTCTTCTTTAACCTTTTAATCTCCCGCTTTTTAGATCGGTAGTTTATTTTTTCGGAGCATTCTGGACAAAGACCTGGAACATTTTCATTTAAGATAATATTTACTTTTTAAAGTGACATACATGTAAGTAAGTATATATTATAACATGTGTCAGATAATGCTATCGGATTATGACATAGGAATCCGTAAATATACTGAGGGCCATCATGAGCTTTGTTAATACGATCCCGTTGACATGCTGATGTGTGTTGATTCCTAAATTGAATGGCATTTTTTCGTACCATGCCCTATTAACTGAAACATATTGGAATCGCAAGACCGAACTAAATAACGATAATTTGGTATGGGGTCACTACGTATGTTCTGAACTTTAACTGTCAAACTTTTCTTCGACATGATTATATGATAATAAATTTAATCTCAAAATTATTTTAAATAATCAATTAATTACATACAATAAGCTTTTATGTTTTTAGTATAGATCATTATTTAAATGACATAAGTATCATAGTGATGCTTTTTAAACGTCAAACTTTCTTTAGCTTTAAACTATTAACAACTAATTATTCTAGCTAACAAATTGCTCTCGCTACCTTATAAAATACAATTCTAAGATAGATTGGTGTTAATTACATGAAGCAATTACGAATACTTATATACCTAATAAGTACCTAGTATATAATGACCTAATGTGGAACAATAATGTATTAGGAAATACTCACGAACTTTAACAAGTGCGTTCTTCTTTTCGTCGCCTTCCCGGTAAGCAAAATTAACTTCCCACGATTTTAGCCCTTGATCGCTGTTACACCCCTTAGAGCCGCAGTGGAATTGTCCCTTCCCAAGAACAACTTCTTTTTCGATACGCCACCTCAGTGCTACCTAAACGTAAACCGATATCTTCGAAGAAAAATTCGACATCTTGTAACAACATATCTTTGGTTTACGCAAGTACCTACTACACATTTATATAAATCTTCCTAATTACATATAATGTAATAAATTTGTGTTTATATCCGTTGAGAGTTTTTTTAATCAGAAGTTTTGATTGAGAAAGATAAACGTAAAATAATAATAGCGCCTGTGTTGTAGTTTGACTATAAGCTCTCAACGGACTAGACTTCGACTATTTACTTGGTGTACCTTCTTTTGTTTATAAATATTTGTCTGTTACTGAACTCCTACAATCACATTTTTATGTACAATTTTATGCATAATAAGAAACTGTATAATGGGAGAGACTAGGGAGGTGAAAATCGATTATATATGTGAAAATCGAATTTTTTACGCGATTTTTAAATTTAAAATAATCGATTAATAATCGATTATTTTTATAATTGAAAATCAATCATAATCGATTTTTTATCTGAAACCTCCCGACATTATGTCTGGTATTTTAAAACCCGGACCTCGAACTATTAGGGATATTCGATACACAACGATGTTTACAATGCGATACATTGAATCCGATTCTTTGAAGATGTATTTTTTTTTTTTTTTAAAGACAATACACACCAATTAACCTAGCCCCATGCTAAGCTGGTGAAGCTTGTGTTATGGGTACTAGGCAACGGATATACATACATATTATAGATAGATAAACGTATAAATACATATTTAAACACCCAAGACCTAAGCACAACACCAAATGCGCATCACATCGATGTTCGTCTCAGCCGGGGATCGAACCCGGGACCCATGGATTCGCAGTCAGGGGTACTAACCACTAGACCAATGAGTCGTATTGATATACTCGATACATTGATGTTTTTTTGTAAAACATCAAAAGGATGATAAAAGCAGTTAATTTTACAAAAACTCAAGTTTGAATGGAACACTATAATTTAAAAGTAAAATAAATTTATTCAGCAGCACAAGACTACATACAATTAAAACGACAACAAAAATACTGCAATGTGCTACTGAAAAGGACGCTCAGCATTTATCAAAAATCTATCAAAACGAGATTAAGTTAATTTTGATTTTGATTATTCTTAAACGTTAAATTGTGTTTATAATTTCTATTGTTTATTTTTAATTTAAAAAACAAATTTTTAATTGAAAAAATCGATTAATAAAAAAAATCGATTATTTTTTTTAGAAAAATCGATTATTTATTAATCGATTATTCAATGTAAAAAAATAATAGATTAATAAAAAATCGATTTTTTTATGCAAAATGTCACATCCCTAGGAGAGACGCAAAGCCTCCTAGAAGAGTAGCGTTATAGCTTACTGTTTTTATAAATAACATACTGTTAGCTAAATGAAGCATATCACCGAAGCTTTGTGATGCATCAAGTAGCGTGTTTCATGTTAGGGATAGAGAAAGTCAGTCTTGATAACGCCGCCCATTGTAGGTACTCCTATATTTAATTAATATTTGCAACTAACTATTCATAACAATTCATAATTTAAATCAGAATGATAACAAGTTAGTTAACTAATGTGCATGCGTTTTCTTTGTATTGTTGACAAAACATCTTGTTTTTATTTCAGCAGTTATTTTATAGTTGATGAGAGCGAAGATCATGCAAATAGGCAATTAGGCATTCACTTATCATCAAGTAAAATGTAAATAATATTATAATTATCTTTTGCTACCTAATTAAAAATGTTTAACGACGAACAATAAATAAGAAATAAATAAACTAAAATATTTTTTTAACACAAAATGTGAAAATAATTAATTTTTAATTTTCCCGATCGTATTCTGTTTTTAGAAACAAATGCTCAGCTTGCTTTACCCACTGCGTGTAACACGTTAACCTTAGGTTCAATTCCTGGCATCCGATAATTATTTTCTTCTAACTCTATAAAGAAAATATATTTGTTTGTCCCATGTAGCCCATCTTCCAGGGTTACGTGTCTTAACTAACCTTACTACTAAATAATTGTGAGAGTGACAATATGTACTTTATTTTAAGGATAACCTTATTGTATTAATGTTATTTTTCTCTAAATAAGGTAATAACCGAATAAGACATCACATAATAACTAGCGAATGCTTCATTCCAAATCTCATGGGAGGCCTAACTATTATTAGTGATAATTTATTCGTTAATTTGTTAGGCAGCTTGCGCCTTGATATTCAATGTCGAATATAAGAAATGGTGAGCAGATGTGCGCTACTAGTATCTGCGGGTTAATACCGTACGCGCTATATTTAGCCTACAGAAAGGCAGTACCGCTATTGTGCTCTCCCTGGCTTGTTACGCATTGTACAAAGAAAGGTCTCTCGGGCAAAAAAAGGCCATTCAAATTCAGAGGGGCAGATCCCCATTTCATGTTAACAGTTAGGGGAAACTAAGTATCTCAACGTTTATTTCATCTCATATTGCCTCTCCGTTATTATTATTAGTTTAAATTAAGACTATAAAACCTACAATTTTATGCTGTTGAATGTCTGTTTATACGCATTGTTCATATAACAAAGGACTTACTTTATTCTCTTTATATCTGGTTAAATCACATATACAATACTCTTTAAAGAGTTTATCATAATATTTTTTAGCTAACTGCTTCTCCCATGTGTCGGCCACATCGTCCTCTTCCCAAAGAAACTTGTGGTTTTCTCTTATAACATCAAGATCTGTTCTATCCTTAGATGTGTCACGTATAAGACGTCCCGTAGAGCCCTTTGTATTTAAACAATACACATTAACCAAGTACTTATGCAATTCATATGGATTAAGATTACGTAACCTTGCCGACATCGCAACGACAACCTAGAACAAAGGGAAAATAACTATTTTAATTTGGAAACAAAATAAAACATGACTTGCAACAAACAACTCTTTAATAAAATCAGTAATTATTACAATTTTCATAAAAATTATTTATATATTAAACGGATCTTATTCTAATTGTCATGATGAGTTTTATAACAAGGTGCAATTTATATAAATATCGCAGTAAGAAGGCATCAATAAATAGTGTTTTGTGCAGAAGTTAATATCTACTCTGAATATTATTGTCAGTCTTGTAGATTTTTGTGTTCTTTTTCCATTTGGCTCAACCTTAAAACTATGAACAAGTCATGCATATAAACCCCTAAAATTAATTGTATAATAAATAATATGTAATTATTGTCTATACCTAAATACAAAATGTTGTCAATAAAATAGATATAAAGTTATTGGTATTAACAACCAAGTAACATTAAATGAAGTGGCACATAGAATGACTTAAATTTATATAACTTTGGTTTTTAGCCAATCTTTGGGATAACAACATTTTACTAAGTCAATACCTAATTGATGTCATTCTATACATGGAAAAATATAAAACTATAGTATCAGAAACATGTATCATTAAACAATTATTTGTGATGCAAATTTAAGTTCATTAATAAATAGCATTTTAAATATATGTAAACTAATTTGAAACTAAATTTACAGTTTGAGACCATGTCAACAGGAAAAACTTCAAAGTGCCCTATTACCTAATTACAGTTAAAAAAGTGTAATTGACTTCCCCATTTGGCATAAATATCTGATAATATTTATTTTATTAAACTTTTAATATCTAAAATATATTATGTATTTGGTATATTACTTAAAGTAAATATATAGAAATAGGCACATTAGTTAGTTATTGCTTTGGTTACAGCACAGTATATTAAGAATACAATGTAATATTATATCTTATCTAAATTTTGGCAATGTGTACACTTTACTAGCACAAAAATGCTTTAAAGTAAAGATATACAAAAATATATTGAGTTGTTAAAGCTTTCAAATAGAAGCAGGAACAATTTGTAACAAGTTTTATAGAAGGCCCCAAATTTATTAATATTTCTCCTATCTCTAATACAAACATTACAGCTTGGCTATCGGAATCTTTGGACATTTGACCTATATCCACATAAATATCACTTTATCATATCTAAAAAGGCAACATTGGGTCGAGATATGTGTGACATTTTACATTACAGCACCTGCAAAGGTTTTATAACTACTTACTAGGTTTACTGAACATGCAAAAATAACTAAATTTATAAATAAAACCTAACTCAAAAGCAAATACAGCAGCACACTATAAGAGTAGAATCACTCGCAATAACACACCATAATGACTAATTATAATATGAACTAGAAAGAATTTTTTCAATTTGGTATAAAACATAATATTCTATAAATATTAATTATGACTAAATTTTTGGCAATGGGAGAATCTAAGCTTCATTAGAAAAAGCATCATAAAATATGACGTAAACATAAGCACAACTACAAATTTATTCCTCAAAGAATTGTATAGTTGATGCTCCTTATTATCCATGTGTTTTCTCATGTTTTTTCATATTATCAGAACGAGTGAATGCTTTATCACAGACACCACAGTAATATGACTTTTGTTTTGTGTGAACAGTCATGTGTCGTGACAGTTCACTTTTGGTAACAAACTTCTTTTCGCAGACAGTGCATGCATGTTTGCGCACATTGAGGTGAAACTTCATGTGTATAGAGAGTGAACTTGACTGGGAGAATGCTTTATGACACAACTCACACACAAATGGGCGCTCTCCAGTATGCTTTCTCAAATGGTTCATGAATCCTGTTTTCGTATAGTCTTTCTGACACAAGTGACAAAAGCTTGATTTAGAATCCAGCATTCCTGGAAAATGACTGTTAATGTGCTTTCTGAGTTCCCAATAGCTAGGGAATTTTTCTGAACAAACATGACATGGATATTTTTTCTCTTCGGTGGGTTTAGCATTGCAATTATGCGATGACAACAACTGTTCACTGGAAAATATTTGGTTGCACTGGCTACAAGTATGACTAGCCTCAGAGTCTGTAGACAAGGTTACTTCTAAATAATTTTCAATGGACATGACATTCCCGTTTGAGCTGTCGGCGTCGTCGCTTTGATTGAGAATAGTTTGATCGATTTCGATATCTTTGGTATCCATTTTGGCTAGATAGTTTCTATAGTCTAATAAATCTTTTCCTGAATTGTTATTATCAGGTTCTACGAGATGTAGAATAGGTGACTCACTCTGCCCTCTTTCAGGTGAAGGTTTCTCGTTGTCCGAATGCTCGGGCTTTGACGATACATTATTGTCCGACTCCCAATCATTTTCGATAATTTCAACATCAGAATCCGAATCTTCGTCACCTAATCTTGAGTTAATTAAATGAAATTCAATGTCGTCGAATCGCAACACATTAGGCGGAAGTTTAACCCCGACAATAGCCTGAATCGCCTGCCATGAAAGCTCCTGGGGGTTGTTCTGCATATTAAATCGTACTATTCTAACCTACAAACGAGTATATTCGGATTACTACAATGAAATCTTACTTAGTTAAATTCTAATTAGGTACCCTGACATATTTACCTGTTACGTGCACGATTTTGAAAAATAATAAGCAGCTGACACCAACTTTCTACATCTAAAAATATTATGCTACACAGTTTACACTGCACTTAACTGCTTTGGCCTTTGATGCCATAAAATAATGCCACAGAATCAATTAGCTAAGAGACACAGATCAAGTATAAAGCATGCACAGAATACTTGAGTATGTACTTAGACTATGATCTACTATACGGGTTCTATCTAAGACGTACTATGCGTGTAATATAAACTAATTGCACTACCTTAATGTTCTTACATTAAATTAATAACAGTTACAATGAGATAATGATGTATAGAAATAGCTTAAATAAGAAAGTTAAAGATATGAACAGTTACTTACAATATATTATTTTATACATGTGCATAAAACATTATTATCAACGTATTTTATTATTTGCAGCTCAATATTTTTTATAGCCATAATATATAAAAAAACAAAAAAAATAAGACCACCAGCCTAAAACATATCTCATACTAGCCTACGAAAATAAGATTTACCAAAAAAAATTTTTCGTTGTTAGAACATAGCATTTGATACGTAAAATGCGTTCTATTCAACTTTGAAATCATAATCAGTATAAAACATGGTCCAAAAGCGTGATAAAGTAAAAGAAATACTTGTAAATAGTCATTAATTAATTAAAAACCCCAACTCCGTGACTGTCAAATCAAAACTTTTAATTTTTATACGACAGACACGTTACACATAATTGTAAGGAAAACTGGAAAAGTCGAATCCTTAAATACGTAGCATGCTTTTGAATATGCCTGTATAATCCTAATAGTAATACTGTCTTGCAGTTTAATTTCGTCAGAGACTTTTTGATGGAAATGTATCATATTTATTTACACAAGTACCATAGTGTTTAAAATTTAACACAAATCGCAGAATAACAATAAATACGTAAAAAATTTGATGTTTACATGCTTATGTTTTAACTTGATCATACGTCACAACTCACAGGGACTGGTGCAACTGAATCTTGTAGCTTGCGTAGAAAAGCATTTTGGGGATTTTAATTTTTTTGAAACATGTATGTATAATTAATATATTTAATTATAATATTTAACAGAAAGCTTTAAAATAAAAAAAAAACGCGTGTGTACTTATGTACACGTGTTAGAAGTTATACTTCTTTGGCGTAACAAGATAAAAATCTTTTCAAAGATAGATAACTTCAGGGTGTCGGTTTTTTGTGACATTGAGCGCGCGCATCGTTTCCCTAACGCGCCGAAAGAAGTATAACTTCAAAAATTCTGTAGGTTTTATGGCCACTAATAAACCATGTGAAATATTTTTAAAAATTAATAATAGTTTTGCAAGATTTCAATGAGGCTTTTTGGGAATACTAGATCCTGTGGTAATAATATTTACCATAGAATAAAATACTCCGATGAGATATAATTAGTAATTACTAATATATATGCCGGTTGGCGGTTACCCTCCAAAATTAAATAAATAAGTGTAAGATTAAGTAAAATATTTTCGCACGCTAAAAAGCGAAGCAGTCTATCTAATCCATATAGCGCAACAACTTCTTTCAGTATCATGTATTTTCCTTTATCTAGTGTTTTTGGCGTTTAATATTGTAAATTCTAATTAGTGAAAATATAAAATATAAGCGATAGACAAACGTTATATTTATTAACCTCTTGCGTTTTCTAAGCTGGTCCAAAATGATTTTTAATATAAAAATTTAGAAAGTTAAACCAAAAGTTTTATAAATCAAAATGAATTCTTTAGTCGAATTACAGGATTATTTAAAATGTAAAGATAATTCTGTAAAGTTTTTCAATCATTCTGAGGTTCCTATAGTCTGTCAAAGTGAGCCATGTATGTTGGGAGTAGATGAAGCTGGTCGTGGACCAGTATTAGGTAAGAAATTAGTTATGTTAATCTTGTAATGTATTTATATGGTCAGTAGTTTAATTTACTTGGGAATCATTGTCAAGATGTAATTTTAAATTGTTTTAGGACCAATGGTGTATGGAATAGCTTATTGTCCCATAAACCAATCTAAAGTTTTAAAGTCCCTTGGATGTGCAGATTCTAAGGTTTTGACAGAAGAAAAACGGGATGAGATCCTGGTAAATATGTTAACTAAAGATGAAGCAGTTCAGAACATTGGCTGGGCAGCAGAAATAATATCTCCTAATTATATTTCAAATTCAATGTATAGAAGAGCTAAACATTCTTTAAATGAGGTATTAACATTTGAAATGTTTAATTTTAAAAATAATTAAAAAAACTAATGTTTTTTCAGCAATGTTTGCTGTTTATACTAGTTGCTCATGGTACATAGTTGAAAGGTTGTAATTACAAACTTTACTTATAAGTTTGGAAAAGTAAACACTATTTTGGGTAGCAGATAGCTCAGAACTATAATATAAGTAAAGATTTATTAGTTGTAAATTTTTTCAGGTGTCAATGAATTCAGCTATAGATCTTATAAAAAAGGTAATTGAACTAGGTGCAAATATTCAAGAGGTCTATGTGGATACTGTAGGTCCACCTGAGAAATATCAAGCTAAGCTGTCTGATATCTTTCCAGGAATTAAAATTACTGTGAGTAGTTCAGGGTATCTTATGAAGTGTGTAAAATCAAATGTTAAACGCTTTACAAATAATTGAAATACATGTATGTCAAACTCAAAACTCAATTTGTATGAAAACTTTTCGACACAAACTGTCATTTCCATACAAATTTAGTTTTGTCTTTCTACATACACTACTGTTAAGGCATCTTGACTAAGGCCACTGGAAAGGTGTAGGAAGGACCTAGTGTGTATTATTTCTGTAATGTAAAACCAAATTCACACACAACCAATTTTCTTATCTGTCTAGTCAGCTATACAACAAACTTAATAGAATCCTTAATATTTACCCAAAGTCATTATTCTAAATTAAAACATTAATTACCAAGTGGCTTTTCATTTAACTACGAAGAAATTGAATCGCTAATTCAAGTATAATTTAACCTTTCTATTAAGAAAGGTTTTAGTTGTCCAGGAATTGTGGACATTAGTCCACAATGCACTTTACACTATTTTACACTACTAACCTACACCTCCCATCCCATCCTTCCCTTCCCTAAGATTATCATTATGGTGCGTACAAATGTAAACCTGTAAATCTCAACCATGTAAACCTGTATCCTTAGTTTCATAATTAGACTTAGATTTCTGATATTATATTATATTTTATATAGTATTTTCGTTTCAATTATTGTTAAGTTACTATTTCGTTATACCATTTGAAGAGCGGAGTGCCCTGATGTACAGGTATCCCTAGACTTAGTTCAGGGGCTCCAATATCTGCTAAAAATGTAACCTTTTTTAAAGTTACTTTTCCAAAAGATATCACATCATAATTGATCTTATACATGAATAAAATTTGGATTTTAAAACTATACTAATATTCTTAGTTTAGTTTTTTGGTTGGACATGCTAATGTCTGTAACTAGTAACTTTTTTATATAACTGTTTCAATTTAAAAATTGTTTCTGTCCATTTATTGAGGATGGCTACACAAAATTACACCACAACCAATTTAAGAAAGATAAATATGCGGAGCCCTACTAAACTTTAAAAAAACAATGTGATACCGCCACCCATGGAACACTTATACTGCCAGAAGCCTCGCAAGTGCGTTGTCGGCCTTTGAGTAATTGGTACACTTTTTTTTTGAAGGACCCTAAGTATATATTTTTATTGCAACAAAGTATAAATAAATAAAAAAATATATATTAACTTTGATAAACTTCTTCCAGGTAGCCAAAAAGGCTGATTCCATATATCCGATTGTATCAGCAGCTAGTATAGTGGCAAAAGTGACGAGAGACCATGCATTAAAAGTATGGCAGTTTCGTGAAGGACTTGACTTAGATTATACACAGTTTGGCAGTGGATATCCTGGAGGTGAGGACTGAATTTTGCAAGTTTTAACACATAGCAAGTGCCCAAAATTGCTTTGTGTACCTACCTTTAAAAAAAACTGAGTTTGAAAATTTAAAAAAAAATTATTGTCTAATATTTAACAAAGGATAGACATTAAGAGTCACGACTGTTTTTATAATTAAAGTGGCTTTACTTGATGTACTTATAATCTTAGTTTTAGAGTTTATAAAAATAGAAGGACCTTATGAATAAATGAAATGACGCGTAGCTATTAAGATTTACATTCTGTAGTTATTGTCTTATTGGCAAAAAGCTGTCTGTTCAGACATAATAGATAGATTAACAGTCTTATCTATAAATATTAGATTAGAATTTCTATATCAGCAAAAATATATTAGTTTGAAGCAATTCATGTTGAAGACATTATAAACAAAAATGTTTTATTACAGATCCCCTAACAAAAAAGTTCATACGAGATCAAATTGATCCTGTATTTGGGTATCCATTGTTAGTCAGATTTAGCTGGTCGACAGCAGAATTGATGTTACAAGAAAAAGCTATAACCTGTACTTTTGAAGAAATAGACGATCCAACAAAAAAATCGCCTAAGTGTAAAGCAATAAACACATTTTTCGCCCCAAAGTTAGAAGGAGTTAAGAAAAGAAAGAAACACAAATTTTTCGATGAACGATATTTGACTATAGGTAATGCGTTTGAATAAATGTGAGAAATACAGGATTTTCCCGAATTTAGCTTTTACCTTATTAAAAATTTAAGTATGCGTAATAAGAATATTATTTTCATATGAATGCATGTTGAAATATTGTGAAAATAAATAAATATGAAATCTTTCATGAGGTTTATTTAATAAAATTCCCACTAAAACAGTTATATCCAAGCAGTGATGATTTGCGATTTAAAATGACAAAGTGAAAATGCATTTAAATAGTAGAAATCAGCAAATTTTAAATGCATTAATGCTACCGACGTGTCGTATAATTTTCCATAATATGGGGTGGATACATAAATTTGTCGCTTTGGACTGCTTCCACATTCTTTTTCATTGTTTTAAACACAACGTGACTAGAATTTTCATGCATTACATAGTCTTAGATAATACTCTAAAACCATAAATCTTTTCGAATAAGTCGTTTTATTCTGGTCAGGTGTCCGCTATTTTATTAACAGTTTAACGACGGAAACATTTTGGTAACATCATTCTTGCTGAGGTAATTCTGTAAACATTCTAGCGACTGCACATCTAACGAGAAAAATTTGCCAGATTATGCAAGGTTATAAGAACATGACCTAAGAGACTTTCACGACCATTAAGGTCTATTAAGGATTTCTTTATGCGTCGAAAGCATGGGGCTCATCCAAGAAAGGTTAGTTAGGGGCGGACGCGTGCCTTACGGTCACATTAGTATGCGTGGGGCAACGTATGCACCTACTTACCATGAGCAATGCGGAACGCACTTGGGGTCACTTGGAGAATTTAATTGTGTTCCATTATCATATTTAGGTTCTTTTACGGTAAGTCAAAAGTGAAAACGAATGGTCCTCCGACTCGATTGTCATTCGTCAGTCGCGATCGATGGAGACAACTTCTTCTAAACAGTAGCTCGCTTATACCAAAATGACTCTATTTCGGTATTGTATTGTGTTAACTGTTTGCGCGTGTGCCTCAGCAATCGTTGGTCCGGTAGCCAATGGTACAAAGAGTGTTTCCAAAACTGATACTTATCTCGACGCATACTCGAAAACTCGAGTCGAAGCTGAAAAAGCGAAACAGGGTGTTGTTATAATAACAGCTAAAGATGGGGAAAAGAAGATTTCTAATCGAGATGATAGTTTCTCCGGGTACGATTATACGCCTTCGTACTCAAGCAGCGACAGTTTCAGTTCATCAGGACCTTCTAACTCCTACGTACCGCCGTCAAGTTATGGCCCTCCTGTAAAGTTCGAGTCGGACATCACCTACAGTTCTCCTCCGAACACATATGGACCGCCAGCAACAAACTATGGTCCTCCAGCCTCAAATTATGGTCCTCCAACAGCCAGCTATGGACCTCCATCACCTGCCTACGGCCCACCCGCACAATCTTATGGACCACCCGTGCATAAGCCTTATCCGCCAATATATGGACCCCCAAAACCGTCCTATGGAGTTCCCTACACGGCACCAGGCTTTGGATTCTTCGACAAACTATCTCTTAAGTTGGATATTCTGACGATTGCAAAGTTAATGCTTAAATTCCTGATTTTCAAGAAGATAGTGACCATGATAGCAGTAGTTTGCATGTTGTTAGTAATCCCCAAGTTGATATCTTTTAAGAAAGATAAAGGGGGAGATAACGCCGATGAAGACGAACGCAAATTTGGCAGTCGAAACTGTAAGTATATTTAGCGATTGAGTTCAGGTATTCAAGTGATATCTGTAATCATTTAATGCAATTTATTTTCAGTGTTGGAATTGACGTCAGCACAGCAACTCCTGGAGAGGGCAATGTATGTGTACGGCAGCCAGCAACCGACTTGCGGAGTCACGTGTCGTGTGAGAAGGGTCCTGGATGACATATACGAATTTGAACCATATTCCAGGTACGTTAAGTCTTAATTTCCGAACAACGATGTCTTCCTGTGTTATAGCAAAAGTTTGCAAACAAATGGTATAGTTTAAATTAAATAAATTAAACTGTAATTCTACATAGTAACTGACACGTGTTAGCAAAGCTTATAAACATTAAAGGCTAAATATTTTTAGATGGCTATTTTAATGTATCCTTAATAATATAGGTTTATTTATTTCAGGCTTGGCAGCAGGGATTTCTAAGCAAATAAGAAAAACGAGCAAGTGCCATTATAGTTACACTCCTAAATTATTTATTTATTGTATAATTCATAAGGTAATGGACTGAATAAACCATTTAATTTTTATTTCGTGTTTGTTGTCCGTGTCCGCATTGAGTGTTAGTTTAATAATTTGAACGCATTTCTGACTAATTTAGGTTATTGTGTTCACGATTCGAAAAGTGCACGCCTAATTAGCACTCTGATTAAATTTTTTGTTACTGTTTTATGATAATTTTGATTAATTTTTGTGTATTCATGACACAGTTTTGAATACAGCTATTTCAGCACACGAAAATATTAATCGTGTTAGTATAAAATACCATAGATAATCATCGCCCAATGACAAACAAAATATTTTATTTAAGAATCAATTCGTAATATGGGTGAATGCACAAACAAAATGAAATAATTTCGTTACATACGTAATAAAAATGTTAATTGATCAGTTTCATATTGAATTCGCAAATATGTAAAAGGTTAAACTGATTGTACAACTTTTCCTTTATCGCTGTATGTTAATTGCATCCAGGTTCAATTATTACGATTAATCGCATTTAGAAATTATTTATTGCTACGAACGTAGTTGAAACGTTAGTTTCTTTATATTAAAATAACATTTATCGACCGGTTACGGCTATAAATATTTTTTTATTCATAATTCTTATAAGGTCATAATCAATTTAACCAAACCATGTTTTCTACGTAAGTACCTATAGGATTTCTAGAACAGTTTAAAGGTTGCGAAATATTAATAAAACATCACGATAACGATAACAATAATTTGTGTATACTAATATTGAAGGGACCTAAGGGTACGGGGACATTGTACACATTTCGGATATTTATTCCTTGATGAGAAGGGTACCAGGTTAGCACTTTGTTGGTATTTCCTTAGGCGCTTGACAGTAAAATCCATGATGCAGCCGGGGTTAGAAGACACGACCTTGAGATTTCCATCACCACTAGGCTAATGCTCTATTCTGGTCTCGTAACGAAGCGTTTAATAAAAAAATCCTTTTCACTTGTTTCGGTGAAAGTGCACTTTCCCTCTATCAAGATTGGGATCAAAGACCGAGGATTTTAACAATGCTACGCACAATACCGTATGTCACCTTCGGAGAATACTAATGAAGATGTTTCTTTCCTCAACGTAGGAATTGATTGACAGCTTAAATTTATTTTTTAATTTTGTTCTCAAATTAAAAAACTTACATTCTATGCGTATATTGAATAGTCGTTACTCACTTTTAGGAATGCTTTCGAGGTTCGACTTTAAACAGAATAAAAAGAAATTACAACCGTAAATCTAAACATAGCGTATTTTTAATACATACATACCTATACACAACAGCACAAATATAATCGTATAATCGATAATAATTTAAATTTCTATAAAATGTTAAATTATTTTTGTTTACCTTAATATAATATAGCTCGCATTCACGTCAAATTAAAAAGAATTAGACGAGAACTTCCTGGAATAATTAATGGAAGTTAAAATCTTTATCCTTATTTCAATTGAATAATGTTGGACATGTTATGCCTTTTGTTGCTTGCTAGAGGTAATTTAAGCCAATTCAGACAATTGAGTGTACACCCCATACATCATCCGAATTTATTAATAACGTAAGAGTTACGTCTTATTCAAGCAGGCTGATAAGATGAAAGAACTAGGACGTCAAATTGATGATTTAAGGTAATAAGATAGCAACAATACATTTTAGCTTAGAAACGTTTCTTAGCTTATTTGGCACTAAATTGAATTCGAACATAGTCAGGTCGAGTAGTGTACATAATATGTAAGTACATATATATAATAGATTAACTAATTTAATATTTGTCCTTTTAAATTATTTTAGTTTTCTATTTAAACATGTACTCTTACTATTTATACAAATACCTTTTACATGTAAATTAGCTAGATAATGAATTTATTCTAAATAGCACCGATTTCTTAGTAAATCTATACTAGTTTAGAACTGAAATAAAGAAGTTATAAGACCTCATAAGAAGAACTCATTCAATTAAAACACAGATAATTGAAAGTTTAAATACAACTAATATCTGAACATACAAATATTTCGTGAGAAATTATGTCGATTTAGTATGGAAATGGAATTAAGTCCTGAGCTGTTATGCCTATAACACTAGACTCTACTTAAATCGAGTGCGCGTATCAAACAGAAGGCTAAACAGAATCATCTACTTGACTATACAATTAATTGCAACCCATAAAGAGCTGTAGCGTCACTGGATTTCAATCCTCGTGCCTCTAGAACATGCAAAAAGGAATCCTGCCGAGGTAACTGAAAGTAGTAAATAAAACACATCTTTACATTTTATATAGCTTTGAGAGTGCTTATTTATAAACTATCCTGTCCTTCATATGTTTATGAAGTTTTGATGGATGAAGCATCGACCCAATTTACTACCTATAAATACGGGCTAAAAGAGGATGCTGATGCCAAGGGAATATTTTCTACCAATCATGCACGATCGCGTAGATTGTCAATTGTTTAACGGAGGAAGTACACAATTTTAAGGCATTTCGTAACTGTAATTGTTGGTGAGGCTACGAAATTTAATGCTAAGCTATTATAACGTCAAGATTATGGATAATATACACACAACTGTGGTCTAATCTAAAATAAATCTTAGTTTGGGAATGTTTTTTTTTTCGAAAACACCTGCAAAATAAACCTAAGCACCGAAGGAAATTTCCTTTCCATAGGGAGCTTCCACGTCGCCACAACGGTGCGGGCAAGCATTGTCTTCCATAAAAATGGAATGTTCCTTCCTTCCGTCAGATAATTAAATTTTGTTAAATTAACCTTAGAACGTAAATTTCCTTAGGTGCCCGTTTTTTTACAAAAGAGTTAATATGATACTTCATAATGCCTCAAGTTTTAATTGATAATGTTATCCAAATTTTTTCTGAAGTAATTAAAATGTTTATACCTAATACATAATAAATTGACAACTAGGGCGACCATCGTCACGATACACGACAATGAACTTGACGGAAACCATTGTCACGCCCGTACAACGCTCAATGTCCTCAATGTAACTATTTACCATAGGGGACTGGCAAGTGCAGTGCACAATCAGAGTCTAGTGTAAAGAAATATCATAATAAATGTATTTCTATCAGTATAGATAATTTTATTATGAACTGTAGCTGTTGGAGTGAGGGTATTATTCGGATTCTATATGGTAGCGGTAAAAAGGTTTCTTAACCGCCAGTGGCTTAGTTATCGCCCATGCTGTTCTGCTCCTAGATTCGCACAAGGTTGATTCTCTACATAGCTTAAAATTATCATTGAAACTGAAGCTGAATCTCAAAATCTACTGTAATGTTAAATAATTTATTGAACCGCTCTACGCAGAGAGGTACGGCCAGTGGTAAATTGATTTTCTTAGAAAAAAAATTGTGAAATTAATTCGTTTCTATGACGTTTACATAAAGAGCGAAATAAATTAATGATGCTTAGATTCGGTCATTAAACATTCGCAAGCAGAAATGTAAAAGTTAAACTTGCTGGTTTCGGTAATTTTTGGTTTCACTGATTTTTCAGATGGAAAATCAATTTACAATTATAATTTTATTCCTGGATATGAATTTGTTGTGCTATACATATTGTAGATAGTAATGCGGTATTGAACTGTGATGTCATACTTAAATGCGAAAGTGCTGAAATAATCTGGTAAATATCTTATAATTACATCGTTCTACGTTTTACATAAAAGTAGTCGGTAATTAGCAATTAGTTATTAGACTATTAACTTTCAAGGTGCTTCACATTTCAATAATGTTTCGTAAAATGCCAATAAACTTTATAATAGTAAATTTAACAATGAATTTAAAAAAGGAATTAAATGTTCGGAATGTTCGAAATTCAAATCTGTCATTCACTATGCATCAATCGTAGTGAGCGTGACGATCTCAGTATGTTTTACAATAGCTGTATAATTTTTGTGCAAGTGGGTGCTCTATTTAGTCCATTGTAGTGTTAGGCTGGGTTCGTATGAGTCAAGTGTAGGAGCAGTGGTCTGGAACGCGTGGTTCACTGTAGAATCTGCACGTGGGGGCACCACACGTGCAGGGCCTGACGCACAGTCTGCACACAGTTCACGCAGGATAGCGAGAAATCCTCCCAGTCTTTGTAAGGAAACTAGTGATGATTGTGAACCAGTATAACATTTGCGGCGTCTTCTATTATAAGAACATGTTTGCGGAAAGGAGTTTTACCATAAACAGTAAGTGCGCCTGTTTATTTATTTTTTATTGGGTATATTATTTTTGTATATCAGATGAGGTAACAAAACCGAAAATTTTCTTAGTTTATGACTTTATACACAAGTACTTAATATTACGTTCGTCAGAAGAAAGTGATAGGTACTACTGAACTGATAAAGTAAAATAAACAATGATATTGCGGACTTTAAAAAAAACATAAGCTGATTTCATTTCCCTGTGGTAGGTACTTTTAAGAACTTACATAATATTTAAAGTCTGTGTCACTAGAACCGTTACGGTGCATCAATTCAAAACATTAGTGAAAGAAAGACATTGTTTAGATTTCCGAAACATGTAAAACCTACTTGTTCAGCCAACCGTCTCTACAAACTTATGTAACTTTATCTTAACTATGCCTTTCATGTTATCATAAAAAAAAATCTTAGTTGAAAAATAGTGCCGTAGTGAAACTTACTACGGAATTTCGGATTTGCAAGAGAAAGTAGATAACGAATATTTTTTTGCAATCTCTTGAGAGTGCGGTATTTAACAATATAATGTATATTAAGGCTACCTTATGTATGTTTACAGTATCCGAATCCTTTTTTCCGTGATAATTGTCATAAATTAAGTCTAAAAAATCGGTAAAAAAGTAACACTAGTGTGAACTGCTGACCATGAAGTGGTATCTTAATTATATACGAAATTAAAATGCACGGCGAAAGTAGATGCTGCATGTTATGGAATTTCCCTTGTTTCACAATTCATTACTATTTTTATCTCCCTTGATATTTCTTATCAAACTTTATCAATCAAGGTATCCTAGATAATGTTATGTACATATTCGATTTCGAGTGGTCGTTTAGTTTACGAGTTATTCTGGAATATGCAAACAATGTGTATTAGTGTAGACAGCGACACTCGAGTATAGTTTTCTAGTGCTACTTGATAAGTGATTACAGGAAATATATTAAATTGTTACGTACATATAAATAAAGGTAGGTTATAACAAAAATTATAAAGGTTATTAAATAGTTTCGCAAGCATTTATTTTTTAGAAATTTTATTGTTTTCTCTAAAGATTCAGAAAACTGTAAAGTCGAAAGTTTTGAATTTATTATTAAATTATTCTGAATTAATTATTTAATTTCGTACTCCGTGTACTCTGTTGTATATTAAACTATTATAAGTTGCTAGAGGAGGTAATTTAATATTTTTAGGAAGGACATTCGCAGCTACGTCGGTAGAAATCGCATTTGTTGTGTTTCTATATACTGTTTTACATTTTCTTCTTGTTGCTATATCTACTTTCTGCAAGTAGATTTAAAGAAATATTTGGTCCAAGACCTCGCTTAAAAGTGTCTAGCCGCTACTGGTATTCTTTATATATTAATGTTCATTCAGGACATGTATCTGCACTTAAATTAAGAAGTGACTGAATGACAAGCTGAGTATTCTTATCTTACGTTGATTTAAAACCACATTACACAAAGGGGCCACAGTTAACGCAGAGATTAGTCATTCGAACATGACATTAATTAAATTAACTTCGTAGACACAGCGATTTTATAAATTCACACAATGTTTTCATTTGCCTTAGCCTTTTATTTTCTTGTTGCAGTGATGAAAGCTGAATAACGTTGGTCATCTGACACAAAAATTTAAACGTTTTTGTATTAGTACATTTTGAACTGCAAAAATGCCTGAGCTAGGAACAGTGATGCGAGCGATGGAATTGCAGCGACTGATTGAAGACAAAGTATCGGAGTGGCGAGAGAGGTCAGCTCGGGTCGCGGGTACAAGTGTGGCCGACTCTTATCAGCAACCACTCAACTTCAAACGACACAAGTACAGACGCAAAAACAGCGCTGAAATAAACAGAATTATCGCAAAATACTCGAAAGTTAAAAGGACAGACGAACGACACTCTGTCCTGCAGACGTGTCCCGAAGAGCCGCCAGTCCCGCCCGCCAGGCTAAAGAAGGTACGAAGCAAGTTTTCCAAGAGCGAAGACAATCTTGCTAATATTTGTGTCATGGACGAACGTCCCGTCGCTATATCTCAAGAGAAATCTCAATTTAATGTCTCTAAATATAACACAAAAAGCTGCGAGGACATAAATGCTTTTGTCGATGTTGGACGTACAAAGAAAAGTAAGCTATTTGAGGAGAAAAGTATTTTGAATACCAAAGCAACCCCCGTTATGAGGCCAAAACTACATAGTATTAGTGAAGATATTCTAGATATATCTGATTTCGGTGATAGCGGTGTTGATTTGAGACCCAGAAAAAACTTCGTGACCTCTACTCCCTTATCAAACAGGAAGACATGTCCCGTTGGTGATTCTGTGTCAGTGATTGATTTTGAAAAGTGTTCAAACAGTGTCAGTGACTTAAAAAAAGGTAATTCCGAACCAGATATTGCGAATAGAAATTCTGTGGACTCATCTAAGACTTTAGATGGTAGAAAACGCTGGAGTCTTCTTAAACCGTTGAAGCCTACGTTTCGAAAAGGAACTTTGGATTGCTTAATACGATGGCGTGGAAAGAAATCACAAAATCAATCCAAGTAAGTATTTATTTTATGAATTTTTAAGCTTTAAATCGTTTGTCTTATTTATTTATTTTATACTTAATTTGCATTCGTCTAATATCGAGTCTTGAACGATATGAGAACGCGTTAAGGAAAGTTGTTAATAGATCCAGTAAGTTTCCAGTTGAGATTAATTAGTTTACTATACAACCCGTACATCTGTTATGAAGGACGCATTCCTTTATACGTAGGTAGTAGGTACTTAACAGTACATTATCATTATGCAATTTCCTTTGAGGAACCGGCATATTATCTAGATAGATGGAATAATGAAACTATTATTTTTTATAATGTATGTTCATAGTTCAAATAGTACTTTTTTATATAATTTATCACAGTCTTGTAAAAAACAGATAATTTATTTATTTATACTTTATTACCTTAATCAAAAACATACACGTAACAAAAATAAAAAAAGCAGGATACAAAAGTTATAAGGCAACGGGCGGCAATAATTAGTAATAGTATTATGATGATGGCAATTGTGTGTACCAAAATTAAACATAATTAATTTAACGATTCACCTGAATTACGTATAAAGTTTGGCGGCGTATAGGAATTAGAAGAAATTTATCGTTAATTATTTAATTGTCAAACTCCTTGAGCTTTATTAAGTTGGTGGCCATGTGCCACGCGTTTTTTGCGACGAATCTAGTAAGATAATTTTCAAATATATTTTTATATACATAATATGCAAATGTTTTTTATGAGCCAATTAAATGCTTTAGTACTATAATAGTACATTAAAAAAAACCGTGGCGCTACAACCTCTTTAGGTCTGGGCCTCAGATTTCTGAATCTGTTTCATGATCATTTTTCAATCTAATAGGCTGAAGTAGGTGATCAGCCTCCTGTGTCTGACGCTCACCGTCGACTTTTGGGGGCTAAGACATGTCGGTTTCCTCGCGATGTTTTCCTCCACCGTTCGAGCGAATGTTAAATGCGCACATAGAAAGAAAGTCCATTGGTGCACAGCCGGGGATCGAACCTACGACGTCAGGGATGAGAGTCGCACGCTGAAGCTACTAGACCAACACTGCTCACACACTACATTATCTAACAATATATTTATCAACTTTTACCTCTGGCCTACCCCAAGAAAAATATACGTGAACTGACTTTCCTGTTGAAAGCACAAACAAATATTATTTTTACCGTATTAAGGTGCCCTCTACATTAATCGACAATAACTAGTAGTAGTAATTATTGTGCATGACTCAATATAATTTTTTACGTTATTTTAATAATAACACTGAAACCTAGATGGCGCTTTAATCATTGGGCACCATTCTCTGTGCAGAAATAATTTATTACTGTTTGATTTAAATAATAAGCTTAAACGTTACAAAAATGTTAAATGTTAAATTTTAAATACAATGTATTGATGTGTATTTTTACAACAAAATTAAAGCTACGTTCCTTTTTTCTCTCTTTCTTGCTCTCTTGTGTCATATTCTCCTTTAGAAGCACCATCGTATTTTAGAACTGTTAATGTAATCAACTACCATAATCTTAGATCATGAAAAATACCTAGTTGGTAATTAAGTTGTCACAACTTCCCTACCAATTATAATAACCCGTTAAACAAGGAAATCTTATGACCCATTATTATGTATAAAGGCTACATTGTTATTTTTGATGCAGATGTAGATAGTACACGATATTTAAAAATATTATTCAAATATATTATCGCGTAATTGATGTCAAAAAGTTCCCATTTTACTAACCCAGAGTCAATACTTATCTTAGTCTGAGTCCCGTTAGTAATATGTGTGAATCCATGAATCCAAATGTCAAAAATGTTTTGACATAAGAAATCCACAGATTCGGACCACGTTATCTATAGCAACTATGTTAGCGGAATTTTAATTTTTTCACCGAAGACAATAAATACATATAATTCAGGTTTGATTCTGAAAAGACAACAAAATTTTCTACTTGGAACCCAAATTTTTGTGTTTTCTGAGAACAGCACAGACGACAACTCTTGTATATACGTCACTACTTTCTTCAAATAAGTTTTTATATTTTATTTATTGTATAATGTAAACCGTCCTTTATTATGGAATACTTATTCTTATAGGACGTTATGTTTAGAATATGACAGAACCGGAGGAGTAACTAAACGTTAAAACCATATCCAATCTATTCAAAGCTGCATTGAATTGAGATCAAATATATTATGTCTATTCGCGTAACCTAGGGGTATTTTCTTAGTGACAAAGTACTTTGAGAATCTTTTACAATAAAATACATGTAATATATCCTATACAAGTCCTATACACTGCAGTAAGTTGGTTATTAGCATCACAATAAGTACAACCAATCTTGTAATTTGTATTGTGAATTGCTCGACCTACTCACTGTCGGCATTGAGTCACCGAGGATTTAAAAAAATATGGTTTACATTACATTCATTTGTTATTTTAAAATAATTGCATTCATTTCCGCGTCACTTAGTTTGTTTATTCGACAATACTTTGGTTTTCTAATATAATAACCGACAACCAACATTCGTATTTTAAATTAATTTTTTATCCTACTACTATGCTAGTAGCATTGTAAAACAAATTATGATTTAGATTTGACATAACATAATTGTTCTGGTTACACCATATAAAATAACGTTTGAAACTTATTTTTAATTTAAATTTGGAAAATTACTGCGTGCACACAAAATTTCCCACTGTAACAGCATATTCTTACCAGTTGGGTAATCAAACAAACTCGTGAATCATTGAAAGGAATCGGAATAACCGTCTTCAGTATTATATTGTTTTTCTGATTCCGTACGTTTAAATTTAATATTATCTTTATTCTTTAATTTAAACCGTGGGATCGAATTACATAGTCAGAGCGTCAATAGCAACGTTTTTGATTGTTCTAATTTATACATAGTTTTTGTTCAGCCTTGGTACGCAAAAAAACACTATACATTGAACCCAATTCAAACAAAGCTTTGCATTGAGAAATGTGAAGTCTCGTTAGCTGTTTGCCAGTCGTTGGCAAATCGCGATACGCGAAGCCGAACATATATCGGCTGTAAAATTTTCAGTTTTATGTGAAGTTCTAAAGTTTTTGACGATGGATCCTTTAACAAAAGATGATCCATGGATGTTTGTGTATAGGAGCCTGCAGGACAGGGAAATCGTTAGTCATAAAAAGTGAGTTTATTTCTGGTGTTAAAAGCTCTGTATCAAATAATTTCTATACCTGAAACCCAGTGTTTTCGATTAAAATTAATTGAATTGTACAGCCGTTAATAAAATTTTAATAATATAAATCAACTAGTTAATTTATTGAAATTATGTTTTGCATATTAGCCTATTTTATAACTTACTTTGGATTACTTATATTTTATGAAATATTATTGTAATCATGATTTCTGGAAGATGATCTAACTGTTTGTTCCTCATAGATAGTACTCTTTACACGGTAAACGATAACGATATACGACCTGTCAGTCAGCTTGGTTAATTCTTTGGTTATCTATTTAATAATACCAACACATTTAAAGTCAAAGCAAAAGATATTGTAAAGTAATGAACATTTTTTTTTTAAAAAGCTGCGTGTGAGCACTCTCCCTGATCGTTAACAGGGTAAAAACCCTTTAAGTCTGCCTGCTCTGTCCATACATATTATAAAGTGGTGTCCCCCGCAGTGGCGTAAGTATACCATATGGGGCCCGTGGCAAATCTTCTTTCGTGGCAATTCTTTTGATGGGGCCCTATCAGTGAAAATCGTCCCTACACAGTTTAATTTTAATAAACTTCGAGATTTTCAGCGTACTCAATTGCACGTTGTATATGTCCCACTAATGGCAATAGGCCTCCTCTCTTAGGTGAGATGGAATGGTCTGTAGTCCCCACGCTAGCCCAATGCGTATTGGAGACTTCACATTCATCCATAGAACATAATATCTCTTGACCAGGGGCCCTCTTGGGTCGGGGGTTCGTGGCCGTTTGCCAGCCCTGCCACCCTATTGTTACGCCACTGGTCCCCCCGGGCCATGTCTATTTGTATTAACCCAAAAGTTTTGTTACAATAAATAGTGTGATAATGATTTTAATCACATTATACGGACATATTTTAAAGGCCGGCAACGCACCCACTAAAAATGGGCGTCTATGGGCTGCGATGACTGCCCTTTTTGGGCGTCCCGCAGGCTCATTTGCCCCCCTATTACATATATAAAAAAAGTAATAAATTTGTATAAAATCATTAAATAATAAAGCGATCATTGCTAATGAGGTGTCAATAAGTCCGAAATACACCAAAACCACTCGGAAGTTAGTTTTTCATTTAAGAACGAGTGCGTTGTTTATGAGACAGGCGAGACGAGCAGGTTAATTAGCATTAAGTGCCGCTCTTGGACCCTACCAATACGAGGAGTCTTGAAAGAGCTATGCCGGCCTATAAGGTGGTACGATCTTCTCTTGATGGCCACTGAGTCGTAACTGACCGCAAATACCTGGAATGGATGCTGGTTCCATAAACTGGTACTTTTTTTTTCATTCCTATTATAACTTTTCGCTCAAGCACTTTTATACATATAAAGATTGTAGCTGTGTGGTTTTCTAGGCTATATTTACCCTTCTATGCTACAGTCATCAGTTCATCAACATTAAATAAATGTGAAATAACTGCTACTTGACGTCTAAACCGCAGATTAATACTATAATTATTTTCCTCAAACAAAAGGAAAACAATTGTTAATACATTACAAATAGTGGTATTTTAGATATTTATTAATGACAAAAATACTGGTATTTGTTAAGTACCGTCATTCCAAGTAAACAATATAACATAATACATATATTACTATATTATTAGTTATAAGATTTAGGTAGGTATATAAATATATATTTTTTTTAATGTTTTTTATCTAGGTTAATTGGTATGGGTGTAAATATTGTATCGTTCTATCGAATTAGTAGTAATTACCGTAAAGATAGAATAAGGATATGGAATAAATAAATA